ATCTTCTTTATGCACCAAGAGCTTGTAACACTCCAAAGAGAAAGGAAAACTTGAAATCGCATCATATGTTGAACTTTATTCATGAACAGCTGGCGCTGTATTAAGCAGTTTATTAAAAGTGTTTCTGTTGCTCATGAAAACGTTTCAGAAACGTCTGTGTATTTGACAAATATTGCATTTAATTCACTTCATCTGTGATACGAGTATACAAACACAGCGCGAGCGTCATTACCGGGAGCAGAAAGTGTCCGACTTGAAGTCTCCACTTTCAATTCCGCCCCAGACTGCAAGCGGCTACTCTCGCCGATCAGTCTGCGCAGCGCTGCATGAAGTCGAACGCACCTATTGTTGTCGGTTCAAAATGAGCGGAGTCTGCTAGGTTTTTATCTTGCTTTTTTATTTTACTGCATTCACACTTTAAAAGAATAGCAGGCTAACATATGTGGAAATAAATATCCTTATATTATCCTTATCCTTATAACGGAGTAACGCATATTAATTCAAAATTATAATGAAAATTATAGTGACATATTATTAATATTCTCATTGCAGAGAAACAGAGACTAAACAAACAGAGAAACATAGAAACAAAAAGCAAAAGAATAAAGCAAAATAAAATAAAAATATTTTAATATAAATATTTTAATACAAAATAAAATAAAAATATTTAATTTTTTATTTAATTATTTAGCTTTTTCCCTTCTATGTTGGCCTTTTGTTTCTGTTGTAATTAATAACATGTATATATACACACATACATGAATGTTATTAATAATGAATATTATATTAATAATTAGTGTATATATACATAAATATATATATATATATATATTAATATAATATTAATTATATATGGGATAAATAAGGATAGCTCAATTTAAACATTTCATAATTTTTGGACACTTCACAGTTGTGTGTAAATTAATGAATTAATGTAGTTTAGTTTTTATGTTGTTAAATAATAATAATAGTGATGATGATGATTTTGCACAATAATATTTCTGAATCAGTAAATACACTGTCTGTTTTAAGGTATTTCAACAGCAAGAACCGACGCAAGAAATGCATACTTGTGCATGCGTTCATGCGTCGGTACGTGTGAGTAGGTCTGGTATTCGATGATTTCAGTCATGGCCACTGATCTATAATAGAGAAAAATTTAGAAAATAGATAGTCATTGTATATAGATCAGTGGTCTTGGCTTATTCATTTTCAGCATCTTCTCTTCTCTCTAAGGGCTCACCACGGAAACAGCTTAAGCTCCCTCTCTCCCGTGTTACCATGGCAACAGGCTGATCTGTGCTGATCCAGATCGTCTCAGAATTGCAATGTAATGTAGAGCGTTATTGTTTTAATATCACCACATTAAAAACACCAACCTGTTCACACGAAGACACACTTTAGCACTACTGTGATCTGTAGTTAATGTTCTTATGAAGTTTTTCAATGATAAAAACCCAAAGCTGTGTTACATAATCCGGCGGTCTCTCTCGCCCTCTGCAGGTGATTTACGGCAGCGCTGCCGTAAAGGCGTTGACCTCTTTTTCTAACATTCCAGAACCTTCAGTTTCAGTCACCACACATATGTGACTGGAATATGTGTTAAAATGCAATTCACAACATTAGACTTACATTGCCTATCAATTATAAAACATCTTTGTCAGTTTATATGTAGCTGCCTGTAATTTTGTAATATAAGAAATTAATGAATAAAGGAAGCAATATAGCATAGCAAATGAATATTTAATCAACTGCTGTTCCTTCAGACAAAATGAAGAAAAGCACTTCATAATGCTTGACGCATCATACGTGCACTGTCCCCATTTTACAAGAGGATTATAAAAAACTGTTTACAACAAGAGAGTCTGCTTCTCTAGAAAGAACCACTTGATCCAAAACAGTTCATATGTTCTAATGTTCATTCCTCCCACTGCTGTCACAAATTCATGTCACTCGGGTTCACGTAAACACTGAGAGACAGACTAACTCTTGAGATGAGCATGTTAAGAGCTGTGTTCTGGTTCTGGAGTCAACAGTTTCATAAACAACACATACTCCTGCTATGAATGTACAAATAAAGAATTCCAGTTTTATTAATGGGTCTACAGAAGATTTATTATTATGAGCAACAGCAGTACGTTTCAATTTAAATGTCGTTTAAATGTGCAACCTTAAAGGGTTTTAAAAAATAATGACATCAGATCTGCAATATCGTTTGGGTCAGTGTACACCACTGATTGAGCTTTTTTGCTTTTTCTTTGTTATTTTGAAGTTATGTTAATAAGCCACAGAGCAGTTGTTTAAACCCACCACTAGAGGGAGATTATCCCCTTAATTCAGCCTCGACCGACCCCAGAAAAGAGTGGATCTGCCTGTGGCTGTGTGCCTGGCCAGTCAATTTCACAAGCAGCATGTTTGTGCGAAGGAACTTCTCAATGAAACTGATTTCATACCAGCTTTCAAGGGACCATGATGCACTCTCAGAAAAAAGGTACAAAAGCAGTCACTGGGACAGTACCCTTTCAAAAGGTACAAAAATGCACCATTTAGGTACTAATATGTACACTTTAGGAACAATAAGGGTACATTTAAGGGTCTAAAATGCAACTTTTTGGGGTAAATAAGGTACAAAGGTGTACCTTTAGAAAGGCTACCATTCCAAGTGACAGCTTTTGTACCTTTTTTGCTGAGAGTTTGTAATGATGTTTAATTATCTAAAATAAATTCTTGTGAGCTTTTGTGATAAAAAAAAAGCATTTCATGACTAAATGGTCAATTTATTGCCAGAAATTCGAAGTACCATTCCAAGTGACAGCTTTTGTACCTTTTTTGCTGAGAGTTTGTAATGATGTTTAATTATCTAAAATAAATTCTTGTGAGCTTTTGTGATAAAAAAAAAAGCATTTCATGACTAAATGGTCAATTTATTGCCAGAAATTCGAACATTTATGAATTAATTTACTACATCAAATCATAAACCTATGCTGCTTTCAAAATAATAACAGATGAAGGCATCTTAGACAGGATGTTACACAAATACTGGATGTTCTGTAATGCCTTACGTAAAGGCTGTTGATTTGTGTTTTTTGGACATAGTCATTGTCTCTCAGACTCTCCACCATCGATTCAAATTAGTCCTTGCAACATAAGCAGGCTTTTCTAATTAAACTTTTATGGAAAACACCAGCTGTGACAATAATCTGCTCAGCACTGCTTCCTCTGAGCATTGTAGAATTATGAATTGGCATGACTACGCATTCAAAGAACAGATGATAAAGAATGAGAACAGTGAGCTGAGTTACAAAGCAAATCCAGGAAACTTTAAGGAAAATTTACAAAGCAATTCCAGGAAACTTTCAAGAAAATTTAAATTAATATTTTGGATTCAATACAATAAAAATTAAGGTTCGTTTTGATTATATATTACAGAAATGGTCTCTTATAAATCATACGGTGTTTCTGATTGATTCAGACTGTAATTCGCTGTTTTGAAACATAAGTTATTATCTGTGCCATACTGTATGTGTTTAATTCACTATAAGAGACGACTCATAAGAGTCCTTTGTTTGTGAATCTGAACTAGTACACAACCCAACAGAAATACATTTCTTGCCATTATTTCGTGGTTCATGTTTTTTATTGCATCACATTCAAAACAGACTGTGAACTCACATTCAACACTCAAGTGAAATATGACTTTTTCCTTTTGACTTTTGTCTGGCATGACACTTTTGCAACAGGAAAAAGATTATGCTAATTAAATTATACTATTAATACATCAATTCTGAATGATCTACATAAGTAAACTACTGATTAAGTAAACCTGTGTTGCTTTTAAGATGCTATGATCATAACATCTATTTAAAATTGTTTCTGTTTTGAATGTGTTTTGAGATGCCATTTGGTGATAAACAGTACTCCCACATCATCACATCATCACTTCATGACACTCACCACCTCTCATCACAGCTGTCAGGCAGTGGATGGTCTCTGCATCACAGTGCTAATGTTAGCTTGGTTCCAAATCTGCAATCATCTAGAACAGTGGTTCTCAAGCTTTTTGACTTCAAGGCCCCCACTATGTCCAACACAATATTTGAACGTCCCCCACATTGGCTATTAGAGATATTTCCTCTGGCATTTTGCTTGTTGCCACAGGGAATGTTAACATAGTAAGGTAATTAAATATTATTCGTTTTCAATAAAAAAATTTGTTATTGAGGGGGAAAATAAATATGATGTCAGTATGCATCTATGATTTTTTGTGTTTTCAGCATATTCATTAAGCTTAATTGGAAGTTTGCTGAGCCTTGGTTAAGAACCACTGTCCTGAACTCTCTGGCTGATACTCTAAAAGCAGCCTTAGGATCTAAAATTAATTTTGTGTACTGACTAATTGAAAAAAGTTACTGTCCATAAATATTTCTTAAAACTGTATTATGCATTATTTTCATTTTAAAATGTCTTATTTAAAAAATGTTTCACTAAACTAATCACTAAAGTGGCAAAGTATACCCATAGTGAGTTTTTACTTGAATTTTCTTTTTGGTGGCTTAATATGAAAAAACTTTAATAAATTAAGCCAAAAGAGAAAAAAACCTTAGGCATCCTAGACACATTTTTACAATTTGATCTAAACCATTATGTTATAGTTCATACATTTAATTTACCCTCCATCTGCAATTTTGACTCATTAATCAGTGAGGTTCTCTTATAAAAACTGTTATTGTAGTATTTACAATTATATTACTTATTACAATTTTTAATTAGCTTTTATTTTTATATTTTCACTTTTCATATTAAGTTTCAGTCATTTTAATATGCTTTTGTCATTTTAATTTTTTGTTTTTGTTCTAATTTTTTTAAATTAAATTTTTTCATCTAATATTTAATATTTTCTTTCTGTTATTTCAGCTTTATTTCAATTGACATGTTTTCTAATTAGTTATAGTTATCAAAAACAGTGCTGCTTGTAGGAAGAATAACGCAATGCCCCTTACCTTTCTGTCTGTTGATGCTTTGGAGGAACAGGGACAGATCAGCCTCTTTCTCTGTGGTGAAACTCACGATACTGCTTTTGCTTTTATTCTCCTTCTCCTGACTGGAATGCTGCTCTGGAGTCACTGTAGACGTTCCCATTACCGCAGGCCTGGGTTTGGTGGACCAGCTGTCCTCTGGTTGTGGCTTGGGCCTCTCAAAAGGTACGACTTTCTCTTTTTCCTTCTCTTTTTCTTTCTCTGTTTCTCTCAAGGTGCTAGCTGGGGGGTCGGTGAAGGGAGAGGCCATAGCGCAGGAAGTCGTAATGGGCTTAGAAGACGTGACGTCTGTGGTCAGGGGAGAAGATATTTCTGGAGGTTTTGGGGCAGAATATTCTTGCTCCCTCTTGGGACTTTCCTCAGAAGCTGATTCGATTAGCAGGTCGCTGTCGAGCTCCGCCTCCCTTTCCTCTCTTAACAGACTGTAGAGTGGTGGGTTGCTGGATTGACCAAAGCCCCCCTTGGAACCCCCAGAGAGGTCAAATGGGTTACTAACACTGACCTTGTTGGTTTGTGGGTTACTAGCTTTATCAGTGGCAGATGTGTAGCTGGTCTGCTCAAACGGGTTGCTTGCTTGACTGAATCCGCCTTTTGCGGGCGTGGTCTTAGATGTCAGATCATGTATTGGCGAATCAGGTTCGTCAGCCACTTGCTCAATTTCTGAATCTCCAGACTCATCTTCACTGCCTTGAAGGTCTTGAGCCCATGGGGACGAGGGTTTGGCTGAGCTCTTGATGTCCTGGGCTTCAGGAAGCTTGGGGTGAGAGCTGATGCTGCTGGAATCTTGGGTGGAGCTCACAGACTTCATTCCTGCAGGCTGGAACAGCACATCAGACGGAGACTCTCGACCTGGAAAAGAGAAAAGTGACAGAAATGTTAGAATTCAAGAACAACTAAAATATGAGAGAAAGATTATAATACATAAGTATTAATAATATACTGAAATAAATGGCAAAATTTTAAATGATTAGGTGGTATTAGAGGCAAGATAATATCACGACTATAGATCAGTATTTTTCTGCCAGCAATAATCAGTTTACTTAACTAAATAAATAAAATAAAAATATCTATCTATCTGTCTGTCTGTCTGAAGTTATTAGAGACAATGTAATTACACTACAGATCAGTGATATTTTGCTTCTAATACTCAGTTTACTTAATTAAATAAATAAATAAAAATATCTATATAAATAAATAAATATCCTAAATATAAAATTCAGAATTGAAGAAACATTTCCTTTGTAACTCATGACTGTGCATTTAAATCTATCTATCTATCTGTCTGTCTGTCTGTCTGTCTGTCTGGGCACCATACAGACTTTATTAAAGAATTTGAGTTAGTGCTGGCTGCAGATAAAGTCTTAATTGTTGGTGATTTTAATATCCATGTTGATAATGATAAAAATGCATTGGGATCAGCATTTCTAGACATTCTGAGCTCTATTGGGGTTAGACAACATGTGTCAGGTTCTACTCATTGTCGAAATCATACTCTAGATTTAATACTGTCACATGGAATTGATGTTAACGGTGTTGAAATTCTGCAGCAAAGTGGTGACATTTCAGATCATTCTCTAGGCTTGTGTAAACTCCATATAGCTAAAACTGTAAATTCTACCACAAAAGACTTTTGTAAGTAATCTTCCTGATTTATGTCAATTCCTCAGCATATCTAATAGCTCAGAAAAACTTGATGATGTAACAGAAACTATGGACTCTCTCTTTTCTAGCATTTTAGATACGGTTGCTGCTTTACACTTAAGGAAGATTAAGGAAAACAGTTTGACACCGTGGTATAATGAGCACACTCGCGCCCTAAAGAGAGCAGCCCGGAAAATGGAGTGCAGCTGGAAGAAAACAAAACTAGAGGTATTTCGTGTTGCATGGCGGGAAAGTACCCTATCCTACTGAAAAGCATTAAAAACTGTCTCTTTTAGAAGAAAACAAACATAACCCCAGGTATTTATTCAATACAGTGACTAAATTAATGAAAAACACAGCACCAACAGGTGTTGACATTTCCCAACAGCACAGTAGTAATGACTTTATCAACTACATTAATTCCAAGAGCGATACTATTACAGATAGAATTGTAACCATGCAGCCATCAGCTACAGTATCGCATCAGATAGCACGCTATAGAACCCCTGAGGAACAATTCTACTCATTCTCTACTATAGGAGAGGAATAATTTTATAAACTTGTTAAATCATCTAAACCAACAACATGTATGCCCTATTCCGTCTAAGCTCCTAAAAATGGTGCTTCCAGAAGTCATGGATCCTCTTCTGACTATTATTAATTTGTCATTGTCATTAGGATATGTCCCCAAAACCTTCAAACTGGCTGTTATTAAGCCTCTCATTAAAAAAACACAACTTGACCCCAAAGATCTAGTTAATTACAGACCGATCTCGAATCTCCCTTTTCTGTCAAAGATACTAGAAAAGGTAGTATCCTCACAATTATATTCATTCTTAGAGAAAATGGTATCTGTGAGGATTTCCAGACAGGATTTAGACCGTATCATAGTAATGAGACTGCTCTCATTAGAGTTACAAATCACCTGCTCTTATCATACAATTGTCATACATACATTTGTCGATTTGTATATTTTTATTCCTTATTTACTTGTTCTATTTAAAAAATTTTTTATTTATTGTTATTTTTTATTATCTGTGTTTTTTTTGTTATGTCACTGTCATTCTGTTACACTGTGGAAGCTTCTGTCACGAAAACAAATTCCTCGTATGTGTAAACATACCTGGCAATAAAGCTCATTCTGATTCTGGTTCTGATTCTGATCATCTGATCGTGGTTGTATCTATGAGTGCTACTGGATCTTAGCGCTGTGTTCGACACTATCGACCTCAACATTCTTTTAAATAGACTAGAAAACTTTGTTGGCATTAGTGGAAGTGCATTAGCATGGTTGAAATCGTACTTATCTGAACGCCATTAATTCCTAGCAGTGAATGAAGAGGTATCATATCGATCACAAGTGCAGTATGGAGTACCTCAAGGCTCAGTACTAGGGCCGTTACTTTTCATGCTTTACCCTTGGGAGATGAATCAGGAAACATGGTGTCAGCTTTCACTGTTATGCTGATGACACTCAGCTCTATATTTCTTCGCGGCCTGGTGAAACATACCAATTTGAAAAAGTAACGGAATGCATAGTCGATATAAAAAACTGGATGACGAGTAATTTCTTACTGCTAAATTCTGAAAAAACAGAGGTGTTAATTATCGGACCTAACACCTCCGCATGTAATAACCTAGAACACTGTTTTAACACTTAATGGCTGCTCTGTCAATTCTTCATCATCGGTTAGGAACTTAGGTGTGATATTTGATAGCAATCTTTCCTTCAAAAGCCATGTTTCTAGCATTTGTAAAACTGCATTTTTCCATCTCAAAATGTCAAATGCAGAAACGTTAATTCATGCGTTCATGACCTCATAACCTCAGGGGCGTTTCCTCCGAGGAGGCAAGGGAGACAGTGTCTCCTCTCCTCAAAATTGGATGAGAAAATAATCGATATTACAAAAATAAAACAGCGCAAACATGACTAAATATGATTGTAAAAGTCTAAAAGTCTCTCGTTTTTATAAAGTAACACTGTCCAACAGCGACACCTGCAGGTAAAATTACAGCGGAGGCTTGCCTCCCTTCGGTCCATTAACTTTCTACAGAGACCCCTTAGTGTGCCGTGACTTTTCTATCTATCTATCTAACTGTCAGATGTTAGAGGCAAAACAATAATCCTACAGATAATTGTTTTTCTATCTATCTATCTATATATCTATCTGTCTGTCAGATGTTAGAGGCAAGACAATAATCCTACAGATCATTGTTTTTCTATCTATCTATCTATCTATCTATCTATCTGTCTGTCTGTGTGTGTGTCTGTCTGTCTGTCTGTCTGTTAGATGTTATTAGAGGCAAGACATCTATCAATCCATCTATCTTTAACTACCATTACATTTTAACACTTTTTAAGCTTCTTTAACTTTCAAACTAGGCTTGACAACTTTGCTTTTCTAATTAAAAAATAGTTACATTAATTTCAATCTATTTCAATTATACTCCCTTACTTTCAAATTGCAATCTGTTTGCTACTTTAATTTAAATGAAATTCAAATGGATTAGGCTTTCTCAATTCAATTTTGAATGGTGCAGCAGGTGGATCACAAGGGGAAGGGATCTACCTGTAGGGGAGTGGTTAGGGGAGTGGTTAGCTGAGGAGGCTGCACTGTCATCCTCCGGTTCTGACAGTGTTACCGTGGGAAGACCCTGCTGACCGAAACTGAGCACACTCTCTCTCTCGAACATGCCCCCTTGTGGAGACACTCTCACCGGCTGAGACTCTGTCGTAACAGTGATCTTTACAGGACTAGCACTCTGTGGCGTTTCCATCCTACGGTAAGATCGGTAATCTGCCATCTCTTCATCTGAAGGATCCTCCACGTATGGGAATGTGTGCTGCCCACCGGCCGAACCCTGTCTCTTCATCTCTGTATCTTCAGATCGAAGGGGGCTCTTCTCCAAATAGCGACCCAGATCGAAGGGGTCGTGGCTGGATTCTTTATTTTCCTTTTCATGAATCTTAGGCTTGAAATCCTGAATGTCATCTTCGTCTTCTTCATCATCATCTTCGTCATCTCCATAGCCAGACATGAAAGGCTGCTGCTTGTTTTTGGCATTGCCCACACTACCAAAATCACAAAGGTCATCCCCCATGTCCATGTAGCTGTAATGGTCAGTTTTGTGTGAGCCCTGCAGGGTCGTCTGATGGTCTGAGGGGTCACCTGGGGTCATGCCGATGCCGGAGTCGGTCCCGGTAGGAGCAGGTGGGGAACGGTTGCCCTCAGTGGAGAAGAGAGATGCACCATCATTAAAAGGATTAGAGGACTTTGAGGAAAGGAGAGAGGTGTACAGATCACCCTCTCCTGATGATGACTTCATAAACATGTCAGACAGAGAGTCATCTAGAGAGAGAGAGAACATAAAAATGTTATTAGTAATTAATGGATGGAAAAAAATGGAATTGGAAAACGACTTTTTATTTTTTATTGAATTATTTATTTATGTTTGTGGTAAAAAAAAAAAGATTGGATGTAAAAAAATATTTGCATGGTGTTTGTTTCCATTATTGGCTCTTGAATGTGTGCATTTTTGTGCTGATGCACATAAAACAACATCATAAAATAATATGTTTTATTCATATGATAATGTGCATTCAAAGATACAATTCTTTTTCTTTTTCAAAAAGCAAAAATGCATGATATGGTACTCATGGATTGATTTTTAATCTAGTAATCCCTTGTGATTTTTGGGTGGGGGTGGGGGTATGAATGCAGGGTCTGAGTCTGAATGGGTTAACCGTAATTGAATATATTTGTAATTGAATATATTTGTTTAGATAAAAGTTTATTTGCGTAGAATTCACTGATGGCAATAATACATAAAATATGTTAGAATAGCTCTTCATATAACACTTTAAAGCACATAGATGCTTAAAGCCTCTCAATTTTGCCTATACAGTCGACTCCCGGCTGAGCCCTGTGCAGGAACCAGAAGTCAGATTTACTACATTTAGAAATGTAGATGCTCATGGACTTTTAGAGTACATTTAGAGTATATTTGGGCATCTGCATATGAAGTGAAGAAAAGACAATAGACAAAGACAGCCCCACACAGAGAAAAGTCACAAAGTAAAAGAGCTGAACAAGAATCTATGCAGAGAATCAACATGACAGTCGATTCTTTTTCCAGAAGTGATGTAAATCTGATTCCCACTGGATTAAGAGGAAAAGCAGATAGTAAGTTTGAACATGTAGTGATATTCAGACTGGTTGAATACTGTAAACATACACAGCTCCCGAAGACACAGCTAGAAACATCTGCTCTGTCTCTGTGAAATCAGTCGAGTCTTAAGAGGATTAATGAAAGTTGGACAATGAACCCTGTTACTGTTACATCTCCGATATCACGTGCACATCAGCCTGTGCTAAAATTACGGAAGGAAATAACATCATAATGGACCAATGGCCAAGACCTTTTTTTTTTAAATAAAGCTGAGATAAAATATAAATATTAGATTAAAAAAACAACTTAAATGAAAAATAATGCTGCCTTGGTATCTACTGTACAAAAACTAAATCTGAATTAAAAATAAATTAAAACTAATATTTAAAAAAAAAATACACATACATTTATTAAAACTTAAACTAAAATTGAAAATATAAAAATAAAAGCTAATTCAAAATTGTAAATAGTACTATATAAAAAAAAATAATAAAATAATACTGCACCATGAAATGGAACCAAGTAAGTAACAACTTTTATGTGGCAGGAGACTCAACTCAACAATAATGTTTGGCATTAGTATGTTGCTAAGCTCATGACCCAATACTAAAATATAAAAATATATCTCACATACAAATATTGGGAACAAAGTCACTTTTTAATCAGACCAATCTGTTTTCATAAATCCTTTTCAGTACCGAATTAAGCATGATTAAATTTATTATCAATAGATCTCTCTCTTCCTCCACCAACTTTGATAGATTTTTAACACTCAAAAGTGCGTTATGGAATTGCCTTCTCAATTTTTGTTTGTGGACTAAATGTGGGAATATCAGACAAATGTGTATAGATCTGTATTCAGTGACAGCCCGTTTTTTCAGCAACCTTGGTTCTGGTATTTTTCACATTCATTTCAACCAGACATTTAAAAAATTCTTCAGTACAGAATTCTAAGCTACAGACCAAAACGGCCACAAGTGAAAAAGTTCTTTGACAAAGACAAAATTAGTTTTATGGGTGTGGCTGAATTCGATATAGCATCCTAATTGTACCATTTTAGCCATATCTTTGTATAATTAGAGTAGTATGCTATTCTGAATTCTGCCAGTGATTGGATCACGTCATTTGCAATGCTTGCTGGGAGTAGGCGGACACCGCTGAGCTCTTTTGGCAAGACTCACATTTCCATGGTAACAGTGACTTCTCTGATTGTTGGAGGATTATGGGTAGTGTAGTTCTTTGCCAGAAATTAAGGGGACAGCAGGCTCAAAAATGTAAATTTTGTGCGGACTCTCATACCATTCCAAACCTGCATAACTTCCTTTCTTCTGTGGAATAGAAGACACTGTGAAAAATCACTGTTTTGTGGTATATACAATTAAATTAATTGGGGTCCAATGTTATTTGGACTTCTTTTGTATTCTGTTGAATAAATAAAGTCATACAGGTTTAGAATGACATGAAGTTGAGTATATGATAGAGTATTGATAGAAAACATTATTTTACAATTAAGCTGAAATCACGTTGACTTGTCTGCCACCATTTTACAGCCTCAAAATTCTAGGTAGGTCTGTCTTGAAAGGTTTATACAATTAATTTCTCTACAGTGTTGCGCTCTATTCGAGTTGTCCTTGTATGCTGACTGCCTTTGGCTGAAAGTGACAGAAGGAATGGTCTTTTCACTTTCACCCTGAACTGTTTGTTGATCTTGCTTGGCCTCTCTCTCTCATGCCCGAGTGACTTTGTGAATGCAGACAGACAGTACACAACAGCATTCCTCCTCGTCTAGGCCTTTCCCCTCAGCGTATTAGACAGGCAGACAGAGAGAGAGACAACTAGGGAGAGACAGACAGTCAGAAGTGGATTATGGTGGACATATTGACATGCGTGAGCGATGTTACCGGTGGTACGATCAGAGTTACGGGATTTCTGTTGTGTTGAGCCACTCACCACGTGGACAGATCTTTTTCCAGCCCGTCTTAAAGATCCGTGAGCTCACAGACTTGGCTACTGTAAAAAGACTGCGATGTCTCACTCTCACTCAGCCTATAAATAGACCTCCCTCTGTTTATTTAAAAAGGAAGAATGCTAAAGACAGAGCCAACTACAGCCCAAACTGACATTGTATGAAAGACAGTAAGAGAGAGAGAGAGAGAGGAAGGGAAGAAACAAGAACCTTACCATAGCCAGAGTGTGAAAGAGAGAGAAAGAATCTTTGTGTGAGTGCATTTAAATGTGTTTAAGAAAATATGCGTATTTGGGCTTGTGTCCATGAGAGGAGGAAAGACTTTGTGTGTGTTTTTGTGTATGTGCAAGAGTGTGTGTTAAAGCTAACCAGTGCATAGGGGAGCTGAGGGATTTCAGGCCCTGGCTCATGAATATTTGAGCATGTGAGAGCGACTGCATGGGCGTATGTGTGCATGCAGTTTCCCCATAGCTAATAATAGCACTCTGAGCCATAATGGCGGTTCAATCAGACTCTTAATGGAACAAAGAGCACCTGCAGAAGCAGAAACTGACAATTAGCAACAGAAAAAAAGCCATGAAAGCGAGCTGCGATGGCTTTCCATATGAAAGTTTGAAAGCATGCGTGTGTATTTCACCTTATGTATTTTACATGCTATGTGTGATAGGCTGTAGTCACATGTCTCCACTCTGAAAGGGTTTCTATAGATACATCGCTACTTTATCTGTCACATTGATCCATAGAAACACTAAAAGCACATTAAACGATGCAGCATGTGGACAATTAAAGTACCACTATGAGTGCTTGGATGTCTGTCTCTGAAACTCCGATCATGTACACTTCCTTTTTGATAAGGTTCTATGTTTTATTATTGTCCGGTATTAAGTCCACATTATTGTCCACATCATTATAGGTTTAGGAATCAGGCTTTAAGACGCCAGAACATCTCATCTAATAAACTCAATGTTATTTTTTGTTACGGTCAGTTAGGATTTAGCTTAGTAGCTTAGAAATACTCAGAAAGAAAAAGTTCACTGAAAAAAAAAAAACTCTAGCTTCACAATGCAGGATAATAATTTCTCGATGAGATGTTGTTCATAGCATAAAAATAAGGTTGAAGCAACATCATTTATGGCAATAACACAAACTTTACCCAACATGCTTCCATAAATGTTGACATTCTGAACTAATATGAGTCTGGGCTATAGCCTACCTTTCTTCCACTACTCTTTGTTTTATTAACCACACCATACTCAAGAAAACTCTAATACATTCTCTAGAATGTATAATACTCTCTAATACCGATAATATTCTCATCTCTAAAATAGTGGTGCACTCAGTTATTTTTGTTTATGCATTAGGACCAGCCAATATGGTGGTCATGTTTGAAATGCAAGCGTTTGTTACTGTTGCCTGTGAAGAAATGCAAAGTTCACAGTCAGCCACAATTATTTTATTCAGTATGCAAATGTATCCAATAACAGGGGTTACCCAGACAAAATGAGCACTATTTGGCTGGTCATGTGATCTCAAAATGGTGGCCCCCGAGATGGTGCTCCATGTAAAATAGATTAGGCTACTGATGTTACTGGAGTCGTCATTTCAGAGGATATCATTTTCAAGTACTACTCATTTATTTATTTGTAGAACTTATTTCTTTGTGCACTTTTAAGGTCAGAGTCAACAAATCAGATGTAAATGACAACATTACAGTTTATCTTGAAATACATTAAATTGAATGTGACTGTCTTTTTTAAAAAGTTTATTGTACTACAGAAGGTTGAATCAGCAGGGCTGGCAACACACTCTCATTTCCTTTTTTGAAATTGTTTTATGTTTTCATGATTTCTTATGATTTCAGTCATATGTCTTCATACGATCTGCTTACACCCCACTGACAGGTTAGGCTTGGGGTTTACAAAACACATTGTGCACCTTGGGTCTGGCTGTGAATTTGAAGGCTGTACTGCTGTTGTCACTACTGTATGAACTGTCATATTGAGAAGTTTTAATAGTCTGGCTATGTGCTCCATGAAAAGGTTTATTAGAATGGTGGACAATGCCCAATTATTGAGCCATACCCTGTGATTTAGAACAGTGAGACAGGCTGAGGAGAAAGAGGGCAGAGAGACAGGCAGTGGGCACACAGACAAAGAAATTATGATTACATTATTGTGGCTTTATGAACACACATCATGATCAGAACTAAGAGTTCTGTCATCATGATTGCTTAATTCTAAACGCATCAGAGTGCAACATAAGAATGTTTTGTTTGTTTTATTGTGTGTGTCGTTTGTTTGTTTGATCGTGTTATTTGAACTACCATCTGTGTATGCAGAGACATCCATGCGCTGTCACACCCATGGCCTGCTACTGGGCTCTCTTCACCTCCAATTCATCAGCAGCAGCAGCTTTTGCTTCTTCTTTTCTTGAATCGCCGGCACGGGTGTCGCCGCTAAAACACAATGCGTAATTATAAAAAGCCCAAATTTACCTGTAGATGCAGTTTCCATGGAAACGCCACTTCCTTCAAAGGGATGGAATTGTTGCTTGGGCGCGTGCAGATCGTCCCGCATCTCGTCGAAACGGGGCCCTGCGCTCCCAAACATCCCGTTCTTCTCCTCCTCCTCCTCGAACCATTTCCCATCCAAACCGGGCCCCTCGCTCGAATTGGCGGACATGCTTGCAGTAGTCGCACGCAGAGAGTTTGTTCGGAAGCGAGAACGATTGTGAGAGATCGCAGAAGAAATTCAAAGATGTGACGCTTAATATGACCGATGCTACCCGTCTCGCAGCAGCGGAGCCAGTGGGCTTGATGTGTTCGGTTCAGTGTCTCGGAGCTGACGTCACTGTGTCTGTACGGCTCGCGGTTGGCACGGATTTAGGAGAGAGACATTCCGGTTAGAGGACGGTCCGTGTTCCGCGGGCGTGGTTCTAGCTACCTCACAGTACACATAATACGCACGCTATATTTAAGCTTTTTTTTATATACACTTCAGCGCAAAAATACATTCAGCGATTAATGAAACCGTCTGATTCTGACTTTTTCCTGATTATTGCGGATAGAAATGACTGAATTCGCAGGACTTGTTCTTAAATATTTTGATTAGCCAGTAGTAAATGTAATTTTATATTGTTTATGAATTATTTTATATTTTGAATGAGCTGTTTGTCAATATTTATCCTCTACCCATTTATTACTACTACCCAGTTTATTTGTGCTGAAATGGGATCAGATTGGTTAAATTTAGATTTATTTGATTTGATTTCTTCCGAATGATTCGTTTCTTTTACTTCTAAGTGCTCCACCCGTACCATGGGCTATGTTGTTGTGTTCTGAGGGTCTGAGGTGAGAGAGATGTTTTTGTCTTCTCTGTTTTCATTTCCTATTTAATTTCGGTTGGGTAACGTTAGGCTATTACTATTAGGATGCTGTTTAGTTTCCTTTTTTTAATTATATGCCAATGTAAATTTTTATGTTGCATAAAAAATGTACATGTGTAATTTGAAATGATTTTATTTTGTGAAATAAGGATTACATTTTTTTCAAATAAAAGTATTTAAACACGGAGTAATTCTAAAGTCACCATGCTACGAGAAGCAAAATTCCAAAAATGCACATTGCCCTGAAACACTTTCACATTTGATGTAGTTTTACAGTCAAATTTGTGAACGGGTGGATGATCCGGTGCTTTTGCACCATCTGCTGGCGGACAACAACACATTCCAACAGGGCTTCCTTAGCACCGGCGAGCCACGCTTCCTTAGCAACGGCCTGATGTAAACATTGCAGGAAGCAAAATAAAAAGGAAAATCACTACAAGTGCGGCTCGATAATGGAGGGTTGATATGTTTTGACTGTTGAAAGGTATATTTACACTTAACAGGCATCATGCAGCTGTTGAACTTTATGGTGGAGAGAAGGTAAACTGATCTGTTGTAGTTGTAGTGCTAAATCATGGAATGTGAAGGAATTTGACTTGGTCACCTCACCTGCTGGGCTCTGACTATACAGTTGGACATACACAAACAGGTGAGGAATTTCTAGTGCAGATACGCATTAGTACAAATTAGGGATGTCTATATTTGTGAGATACATTTTTATATCTAATACACTCTAATACACTAATATACAAGTATATGTAAAAGGTGTTTGCAGCATTGCAGCAGTTTGAATGTTTTGTCGTTGTTGTTACGTATTAACTAAGATAGAAATGTATTAACATTTTATTGTAATGTTTAGTAACTACAGTTGTAGTATTTAGTAAAGGATTAGTGTCTAGGTTTTCAGTTCTTTACATTTGTTGAATGTCCATAAGCCTTTGAAAAATACTGTTTTTTAAGGGATCATGACACAGAAGGAAAAGCAGAAACTAACTGGAGACGAAGAAATTATAAAAGAGCTGGTGAGTTTCCTTTTTTTTCCTCAACTAAATGAACTTAATGTGCAATTTGCTCTTGTGGTGTGGTTTTCTCATCTAAGCCACATGTGCTGGTCTGTGCTGAAGAATCTTTGGTTTGTATGTCCTCAGTGTGTGTCTAATGGACTCTGCTATGAGAAGGTGTGTCAGGAGGGGAGTGGTGAAATGGTTCTGGAGATGTTTTTCTCTGGGTTCCCGCACATGGTGGGTCTCTCTCTTTTCCCTAGATTGTCCAGTCTCACTATTGTAGGCCAGAGCATCAGCTCAATCCAGGGTCTGGAGTACTGCCCACTCCTCAAAGAATTATGGGTAGTGGAGTGCAAACTGAATGTAAGTTACTGAAAACATTTGGAATGTTTCTAGTTTATTTTTCTGAAAATGTTTTATGGATTGAATTTCAGTGTGATTACAATATGTTTTTTCTGCTATTTTGCCAAGGTTGTTCATTTTATTTTCTTTGACTGATTTACTCTAATTAAGATGAAAATTAACAAATGAATCTAGTTGATTTTGATCTGTCTGGTATTGTTTGTGTTTTGTAGGAAATCTCTGGCCTACATAACTGTGTGCATTTGCAGAAATTATTTCTGTACGATAACAACATCCAGCAGATTACAAATCTAGAGATGTTGGTCAACCTTCACGTCCTGTGGCTTAATAAGAACAAGATCTCTGACATACAGGTAGCCTATGTTTATGAGATACTGAGATATTGTAAATGAAATTTCAAAGTATATTATATTTGTGTCTATATACAAATATAAGCTGTTTTACACCTTGTTTTACAGGGATTGAATTCACTTGTAAACCTTAAAGAGTTGAATCTTGCTGATAATGCTGTTGAGACTCTTGGTAGGTTCACTGTAAAACACCACATTTTTGCAATTTTAGCATTTAATTTTTGTACTATAATATATAGACATTTAAAATATGTTACTGGATACACTAATATTTAGCATGTTTATTTCTAAGGTCATTGTCTGGATTCCAACATCAATCTCCACAATCTAAACCTCTCAGGGAACAAAATCAGTTCCTTCAAGGTATGAGAAATATAGCATTATTTGACCTGCTATTTTAAAAGCTTATCATAGTAGAGCAATTTCTTTTCATGAATAAGGCATCAATCATATTGAATTGAATTTAACAGTTCAATTAAATTCTAATTGAATTGCACGCAGCCCTACTATTACTGCTCATTCTTAATTCAGTTTTTAATACCTTACCTTAAAAGTACAGTCATATTTACTGTTGTTAAGTGAAATTTCCTGGGCAAACGGGAATGCACACACACCAGATTTAAGTAGTTACTTAATACAAAAATACATTTAAAAAAATAAATTGCTTTAAATAATAATTGCTTCAAAATTCATGTTTTCATTATGAGTGTGTGTAATTTACATTTTAGAGTAAAATGTCCAACTATCGTTGATTCATATTTACTAATGACATTGTTTTACTTACAAATTGGAAACCTTGTTATTAAAACCCATAGGGAAATAGTGGGGGAACCAATGACAAATTAGTCTTCCGGGTTTTGATGTCATGGCTGCAGCACTCTTTAGACAATGGACATTTTTTGCCTCCAAAATTTAGCTAGTGTGACCGCAACTTAAGTGTTAAACTTTGAAGCATAGCTACGTTTTTGCTTTGCACATGGATGACACCTAAAATCATGTTTTCTCTTATTAGACTGTTGATTGCCTTTTGTGTAGAGCCCATTTTGTTTGTTTGATTGTGTCCAAGATTAAAAGGTAATAATTTCCTTCTGGCCGTCACACCATTATTACTGCAGGCCTGTATCTACATGCCATTATTGCGTCCTCCCTCTCTTGCTCACTATAGATCTGATTACTGTTATTTCTGTGCATGCTCTGTACTTTCCCAACTCCCCCAGAGAGACCTGATCATTTCAGGAATTGCACGATTCAAGTTTTCGCTTTTCAGTTGTTATCATTGTCATAATGTGGCATCTCTGATCTCTGATGCATTTCCTATTTCCTGATGTTGCAAAAATAACAAAATATTAAAATCAAAATATCAATAACAAGCAACATTTATAGTGTAAACGAATATACCATAAATATGGGCAATAGTAATAGTGATGCTTGACCATGAAACATCAATATAAAAATCATTGCAGAATGTTAGGGTTTTTTTGTTATTTGCACAAAATGATTTAATGTTCATGAATATTCCTGATCTCTGAAAGAAGAAAAAAAGTATGTAAAATCTGTACAACCCTTGTTTTCCATATAGGAATTGACCCATCTGGCGCGGCTGCCCCGTCTACGGCACCTGAGTCTGAAGGACCCTCAATCCATTCCAAACCCGCTGTGTCTGCTCTATAATTACTACATACACGTCTTATATCACATGCCACACCTGCAGCGCTTGGACACATATGACATATCCAGCAAACATCTCAAAGACACTGCAGAGGTGAGAGAATCTCTATTTCATGCATCTGAGAGTGTATCTTTTGTGTTTGAGTGATGAGAATGTGTGGTTGTGCATCAGTCCACAGTGCTGAAGAAAATGATGTATTACACCATGCGGGTACGTTGTGCACAAAGACAGTTTGATGAACTCAAAGCCAAGCTCAGGCAGCAGCGGAAAGACCAGAAACAACTTTCAGAGGAGAGAATACGTGTGCTAACACACATGCTGAGAAATGTGAGTATATACAGTTTGTATACAGGGTTTTTTTTTTTCTGCGCCACAATGGTGGTATATTTAGAGTATCCCTTTTTTTCTAAATCCATTCTTAACACATTTAGTAGGAATGCAGCCATTTAAAATTTCTGATACTGATAATCTTAAAATTATTTTAAGACTGATAAATTACTGACTTTGAAATAATGTAAAATTATATACACACATATATACAGTATATATATATACAGTGGGTACGGAAAGTATTCAGACCCCCTTAAATTTTTCACTCTTTGTTATATTGCAGCCATTTGCTAAAATCATTTAAGTTAATTTTTTTTCCTCATTAATGTACACACAGCACACCATATTGACAGAAAAACACAGAATTGTTGACATTTTTGCAGATTTATTAAAAAAGAAAAACTGAAATATCACATGGTCCTAAGTATTCAGACCCTTTGCTGTGACACTCATATATTTAACTCAGGTGCTGTCCATTTCTTCTGATCATCCTTGAGATGGTTCTACACCTTCATTTGAGTCCAGCTGTGTTTGATTATACTGATTGGCTGTTATAATATACTATATAATATATTGAATATACTAAAATATTTTTATAAAATAAAAATAAAACAATGTAAACTAAAACCAATATGTTTATATGTAAAGAGAATTTAGACATCACAGCATTATAATGTACAGTATGAAAATGAAATTATATATATCATTATTGTTTATTATTTTTAAATTATTATAATTAATATATTAATATTTAATTAAGATTTTTAAAAGATATTATTAAATTAAGTCATCCTCAAATTTTTATCAGATTATTCCATATTCAACTTCTGGGGACAAATTTGACAAATTAGTTTGCAACACATTTGTGTTACAAACACATTCACCCTCTGTGAGCAGATGGAGTGTGAGCTGTCCCATGTACAGTCTGTTGGTAAGAAGTCAGGAGAACCTGAAGACTTGACCTCTGACTTTCGTAATAACCACAGCCATGAGCAGAGACTGCAGCACAAACTGGATGCTCTTAAAGACCGACTGAGGTTCTGGGAGCAGCACCTGGAGCAGTGAGTGTGCATTTTTATATACGTAAACCTGTGTGCATGATTATTGTCCGGTCTTGCATATGTGTGTTTTGTTTTTTTTTGTCTCAGGGTAGAAGCATATCACCAGGAAAATGTGGCTTTGGCCTCAGATAGAAGGGATATGATGGTGCACTTTCTGCTATTGGAGCTAGAAACCATGGGGAACATTCGCTTTGAGGAGGGAAACACCGGCGAACCTTGGTACCACATGTATACATGCAAGATCCTTCGTACAGATACACAACATGCAGGAATTTTGATCTATACTGTTTTCTGCTTTCTCTCTCAGGTTCACATCATGTTACGATCTCTTGCTGTCCCGTTTCTGTGCATGGGATTATAAACCTCACAACATCTCTGGCATTAAGATCAATCGAATCATCCGTATCCATAACCGAGCTCTGCGGCAACGCTTCCAGGACAAAGTACACTCTCTGCTTTGCAGACAGGAACCTTCACCCTTCTCACAGTGAGTCTCACACACTATATATATACTTTGCATCTTATTTTGGCCAGAAAACCGCACTTAGATAGGAAGAGGCAGTCTGACTTACATGCAAAACATATGGTCAGTTTCTTTTTGTTTTTACTCATTGTTTATAGACAGATAAATCTGGTATTAATACCAGGAAAATATACCACACAGATTATAAATACAGATTATTACAGATAAATACAGATTATTGTAAACATGATTTTTGTCCCATGCATCAGGTATCAGTATTACATTCATTACATGCCATTTATTACTTGAGAGACTCTGACTGATTAAAAAAATAGAGGCTGTTTGATAGTCTTTCTTTTATATTCATGAATCAAAAATCCATATTCATAGTTCTTATAAATTTTTAAGATCTTGAGATATGATTCTGACAGCACAGTGTCTGTGGAAGAGAGTGTTTGTATATGCAGTTTTACTATTTGTGTATGTGTGTGTGTGTGACAGGAACTATAAACGCTGCATGGAGTATCTGTTCCACGTGCCTGATCCAGAACATTCCTGTGAAAGTGATGAGATACTTCCAATCCTAGAAAATGGTTTTAAAACCGCTGATGCATATAAGGTACAAAACCCATCAAAGCCTGGTGAGGACTGGTTATGAATTTCTGTTGTTTTTAATGGACCCATCATCTTGTACATGGATGTGTGTTTCTTGCCTTCAGGCATTAGGTAGGGAGAGAGCCATCCCCCTCTCTAACAGTGTGAGTGTGTCTGATCAACTGCGAATGACATTTATGCAGAAGAAGAGTTGCTCGACATCAGGAAGTATCTACCCTGTAGATATTCTTCCCTTCAGACATGGTCTGTATTCACTCAGAGCCTTTAATTTAAATTAATTTGAATGTACTGTCAGTCATTTCTACACTACAACTGGCTCCAAACATTAATACAAAAATAAAAGTTTGGGGTCAGTTTTTTTTTTTTTTTTTTTAAGTTGCTCAAAATATAGTATGATCAAAAATACAGTAAAAAATGTCATTTAAAATATTATTACAATTTAAAATAGCTGCTTTCTATTCCTGTGATGACAAAGCTGAATTTTCACCAGCCATTACTCCAGTCTTTAGTACCACATGATCCTCTTAATATGCTGATTTGATGCTCAAGAAACATTTTTTACATTTATCAGTGTTGAAAATGGTTGTGCTGCTAAATATTTTCGTGGAAACCATGATACATTTATTAGGATTCTTATATGAATAGGAAGCACAAAATAACGGCATTTTTTGTATCATTTCCTCTCTAAAAAAAGTGTTTGCTTTTGTGCATTTTTGTATGTTTGTAGGTCAGTTGATCATTTCTAAAGTGTTCCTGGGCCGCAGTGCTGTAGTGAAGGAGGGTCTCCCAATAGACTGTGATCATTACCCTAAAGCAAACTCTGTCTACCTCAGTACCTGCTCTAAAGAGCAAAAGCACACAGCACAAACAGCCCTAGGTGAGTTAGAGTGTGTGAATCCATCAGAGAAAAAAGTCTTCAGGGCAGTGGTGATCAAAGCAGTAATGTGTGAGTGCATATGTGTTTTTGTTCATCAGACATGCTGTGTCTCTCCAGCCTGCCGGACAGCTGTGACTGTAAACAGCAGCAGAAAATTTGGTACATGTTTGACAATGAAATGGTGCTCCCAGAGTACCTTGTAGACTTTGAATATGTAACACAGGTATATGTGTTTAACAGTATATACCCTCACACATTTACACCGTCCTCTTAATCTCATATCAGAAAATAGTAATGAGTAATCAAATCATCTTCATCTTATGACATTTTCCTCTAGGACACATCTCAGCCCTCTCCAGACTCCCCGTCCTGTTCTCATGCATCCCCGGCTGATGCCCCATCCTTGTCCCGAGCTGAGCTGGACCTGGATGAGGAGGCATTAAATATGGAACCCATCCTGAAGCCTCACCCCAAGCTGCTCAGTCTAGATGAGAAATCCACACTGACAGTGGCCAGAGCGAACGTCCTCAGTCAGATCACAGTGAGACCTACAATACTTAACATACACAAACCTGTATCTCTGTGATCATTTTATTGACTTATTTCCTGTCATACAGACAGAGGCGGACAAAGTACACAACTGCATTACATGAGTGAAAGTACAGATACTACTGGTCAAATACTACTCCACTACAAGTGAAAGTTGTAAAGACAGGTTTTTACTTACGTAACAGTACAAAAGTACATGCTTTTAAAAGTACTTAAGTATCAAAAGTAAAAAGTAAATGCATTGTTTTATCGTCACATTGTTGTATACTTACAATACCTTATGCCACTAATGCAACCTACTGAATACACTGATTAGCTTGTATTATCTTTGGAATTAAGAGCTTTTATGTTACCAAACCTATAGAAATGGAACAGCTGGATGAAGATAATCAACTTTATTTTTTATTTAACACTACTACAGCTACATTGAACTCATTTTAATACTTGTTTAAAAGTTACAAAGTTCTTTTTAAAAGAGGTATTGAAGGCTATGATATGGTTCATTTTAGGCAAACAAAGCAAACATTGAAAAGAAAACAAATCTTTAGTCTTTTCAGAAAACTGGAACATACTCTCTCAGTATGGCCATGGGTGTGCACGTTGCACCAAAGAACCGTCTTTTTTAATTTTGCCATCAACTGATCAGTGTTCATAAAATGCTCATAAATCAGTGAACGTCACAACATGTGACTAGGGTTTGGTATTGTTTTAATTTTATCCATTCTGATTCTGCTTATTGATTTAAATTCTTATCGATTCCCAGTTTAGATTCCAAAGTTGTAAAAAAGTGAAGTAAAACATTTTGACCTGTGTGATCATTTAACCTACTTATTGATCATTTATTTGCAAAAAAAAAAAAAAAATATATATATATATATATATGTATTTATGTGCAGTTTTGACAATAAAATAATGTTCAGAATTATATACTTCCTTGACCAGATTTTAGCAGCAATTTACCAGCAGGCCTGAGTAGTAAGGTGTTTTTTTATATATGGTAATAGCAGCCATTTTTGACGGATATATTAGCCTACCATTTGTATTGCCATAGTTTAACTACAAATATTAAACTATAGTTACTATAATGAAACCATGTTAAATTTGTGGTTACTGTAGTTTTACTACAAATAGCATAATTATGGTTACTATAGTGAGAGAATAGTAAATTTGTGGATACTGTGATTTTTACCGCAAATACCATAGTTAAACTAGTTACTATAGTAAAAACATGGTTAATTTAATAAGTTAACACATACACATCCGAGTTCAAACAGAATAAAAACTATACATTTTCTCTGTCATGTAGATCAAGGTGTAGGTAATTTTTATTTACCGTATGCCAATCATTTATCTTCTATGATCTTTGATCGTAGCGCTCGGCCTACGTAAGGCATCACATACAGTTGTCTATTTAAAATCAATGTGGTGAGCACACAGATGATCACACCACACTAATATGTGCCTTTTTCGTCTTTTATTATCTTATTTACCTTTTTAGAGCACTTTTAGCTGTGCAGTAGCGCAGATGTTAAAGGGGTCATATGATGCGACTTCAAGTTTTCCTTTCTCCTTGGAGTGTTACAAGCTGATTGTGCATAGATAAAATCACTGAAGTTGCAAAGACTAAAGTCTCAAAACCAAAGAGATATTCTTTATCAAAGTTAAGACTCTGCCACGCCCCCCTAAAAAGGCTCGTTCTAACACGCCCCCACAAATCTACCTCACTATGTGGAAATATTTGCATAATGCCGCCCAAATGTTCACGCAAAGAAAGAAGCCGTGGTTTCAGTAACCGCAGTTAGTGTTGAAGCAGCCATGTCAGGGAGACGCTGTGTGTTTCTAGGCGAAAGCAACACAAAATAATGATCTTTTAAAAAAGCATCATATGACCCCTTTAACATTAGTTTAGCGGGGAAGGTCCAGAGATTGCCAGATTTGCGTAAAAAATCAGCCAAACATCCAAAGCTAGGCGGAAAACTGCAGACTTAGAAATACTGTAAGACTTGGCAACACTGGAAGGTCCTAGCAGATCGCAGGCCAGATTTTCGCAGAAAAAAGGGTTCAGTGAATAAATGCACACACTGGAAAAACTGCTACATATAATGACTTTCTACTTGGGGACCTTGATATAAATGTAGCGAAAAGTGCAATATTTGTCTTTCAAATGTAGTGAAGTTGAAGTAGCAAGTTTCCAGTAGTAAAGTACAGATACTCAAAAAGTGTACTTAAGTACAGTACTCAAGTAAATGTACTTCGTTACTGTCCACCTCTGCATACAGGTGCTGAATCTACATGGCAACAGTCTGAATAAACTACCTGAGATTTCTCGACTCACAGCTCTAAAGCAACTGACCCTCAGCTTCAACGAGTTCACTCATCTGGACGATATTTCACATATGGTGATGAGATCATTCTATTCATTCATAACCTTCTTCTAAACATGACAGTATCACAAACATTTAAAGGCAGCATGCCATAATTGTCAGAAGTGAAAACTGACCCTATATACTCTTTTAATACAAATTATTGGTCTTCATTCACTCTGAAAGGTACAGTATTTTTGGTCTATGTCACTAAGTATGTTTATTTTTTACCACCTGTCATAAAAAAACACCTTTAAAGGGGTCATATGATGCGATTTCAAGTTTTCCTTTCTCTTTGGAGTGTTACAAGCTGTTCGTGAATAGATAAGATCCCTAAAGTTGCAAAGACTAAAGTCTCAAACCCAAAGAGATATTCTTTATAAAAGTTAAGACTCGTCCACACCCTCCTAAAATGCCTTGTTTAAACACGCCCCCACATGTCTATGTCACGATGTGGGAAGATTTGAATAACACTGCCCAAATGTACACGCAAAGAAAGAAGGCATAACTTTGATTCTCGCTGTAGTATTGTTGCCGCTGCCGCCATGTCATAGAGACGCTGTGTGTTTCGCTGTGAAAGTGAAACTACTTTGTTTGGTCTTCCAAAAGAGGACACAACTAGAAATCAGTGGTTAAGTTGTATTTACAACACTGTTCCAGAACAGTTCAAACTAAATATTCAGATGTGATGTCATATGACCCCTTTAATGATGTAACCAATTAAATGAAGTCCTGTCATTGAATATGAATTTATGACTTGTGACTGTCTTTGTCTCTCATTGTTTCTCTGTCTTTCAATCCTTTAGCCAAACCTGGAGTACCTGGATGTTAGTTTTAACCATATTTCCTCTCTGGAGGGTTTGCGTGGACTTGGTCAACTCATAGAACTGGATCTTCGCTGGAATCAACTGACTCGAATCAGGGATGACATGAATGTTTTGCGTAAACACGCCCCTGCCCTGCTCCGTCTGGACACACGGCACAATCCTTGGCACAGGGTAAAAGTTACCTTACATGAATGAGTTTCATATTAGACATTAGAAAATGTGAAGTATCATGACAAATGAAGATTGAGCAAGGTCGTATATACACTTCTGTTCAAAAGTAGTAAGTTCTGTTCAAGAGTCAGTAAGATTAAAATAAAGAATGCAACAAGGATGCAATAAATTGTTTAAAAGTGAGAGTACAGACAATTATAATGTTACAAAGATTTCAATAAAAAAAAATGCTCTTTTGAACTTTCTTTTCATCAAAGTATCTTGAAAAAAATGTATCATGATTTCCACAAAAATATATTAAGCAGCACAACCATTGTCAACATTGATAATAATAAGAAATGTTGAGCACCAAATCAGCATATTAGAATTATTTCTTAAAGTGACATTGAAGACTGGAGTAATGGCTGATGAAAATTCAGCTTTGCCATCACATGAATACATTTCATTTTAAAATATATCAAATAAAATTGTTTTCAAATAGAAAACAATTATTTTAAATTGTAAAAATATTTCACAATATTACTGTTTTTATATATTTTTAACAAATAAATGCAGCTTTGGTGAACATAAGAGGCTTCTTTCTAGGGTTGCCACCCGTCCCTTAAAATACGGAATTGTCCCGTTTTTAAAGGTAAAATGATGCGTCCCGTATCAAATCAATACGGACGCGATTTGTCGTGTCTCGCATTTTGGCGTCTTTGTTTTCATAGTGACGGAGTCTCCAGAACGCGCTCCGTTAAAGCCCTTTCACGCGAGCGCAGTGGTTTAAAACATCTGGGAGCTCACATCTGGCTGCCCTTTGAACACAAGACTCTCCAGATGTAGGGCTGAATGGGGAAATTATCAGTAGGTCTGTCCTGCAACTAATGATGAACGCGCAGTTTGCAGAGAATCATTCAGTTGCTCACGGTGGACTGTCTGACTTAAAGGGATAGTTGACCCAAAAAATGAAAATGTTGTCATTGTTTACAAACCCACAAGTTGTTTCAAACCTTAATCATTTCTTTCTTCTGTTGAACATAAAAGAAGATACTTTGAAGAATGTGGGTAACCAAAGAGTTTCTGGTCCCCAAGTTACTGAGGACCAGAAGCTGTTTGGTTACCCACATTCTTCAAAGTATCTTCTTTTGTGTTCAACAGAAGAAAGAACTTTATGCAGGTTTAGAACAACCTGGGTAAATTATGACAGAATTTTCATTTTTGGGTGAACCATACACAATTTGGATAGTCTGTTAATATAATATTCCATACATTATCAGAGCTTGGTAGACATAATTATTATATTTTTTGACATTATTAGACAGATGAATTAATAGATTATAATTCATGTTTGACCCTATTTATTAATTTATAATTTATATTAATCATAAATATATACATAATAAATAATAAAAAAATGTCATATACAATTTGGCATTTTAAAAAGTTTTTCAAAAATGCTAAATTATTTAGAAAAAAATTTGAGCAAATTAATGAATTTTTTTTTAAAATAATACAAATTCATCCCATCCAGGCAACAGCAACAGAACTTAAAAAAAAGACAAAAAATAATTAATAATTATAAATAATCAACAACATTAATATGTTCTGTTGGAAGTTTACATGCTTGAGCATGTTTTTTTTGGGGGGGGGGGGATTCGTGAATGGGTGTCCCTTATTTGCCTCGCTGAATGTGGCAACCCTACTTCTTTCAAAACCATAAAAAAATGTTTTTGAATGGTAGTGTATGCAAACACACAATTCACCATTGTAATCCCCAAACCAAGTTGGCCCTGCTGACATTTAAACAATAAAATGTTATGTTTACATTTAATGAATTAGTGAATATAAGTGGATTTCATTTGTGTGTTTTGCAGAACGAGTGTGTGCGAATGGTGGTTCTTGGTCGACTGAAGACTCTTGCCTATTTGGATGATGTTTTTGTGATGGAGGAGGAAGCGACTGCTGCTGTTCAAGTGGCTGCTCGATCTAGAATCAACCAGGTATGAACAATCTGAACGTTATACTCATTGTTTGTGTCCATGTTTTGACCTGGAACATGTGTGTGTTTGCAGGCATCTCTGATGACCCACTCTCGGACTGACAGTGAACGTCCCCGCAGTCTGAGTTTGCTCTCTTCTGCTCACCTGCTCACACAGATCAGCCTGTCTCCATGGAAACACTTGCAAGAGCTTGAGTCAGGCTGGACCACCAAAGTATGACACATAAACTTACATTCTCTCACACAAACAACATTTAAAAGCGTTAATTCACTCAGCCTCGTCATTTCTGTGTTTATTCTGTGAAACACAAAGAAGATATATTGTAGAATGTTTGTTTTTTATTGCCCTGCGGGGTCAGATCACAGCACTGAATCTTGATGGTCTGCGGTTAACCCGGCTCAGTAATCTTGACCGACTGGTGAATCTACGCTGGGCTTCATTTGACAATAATGAATTAACTCGAATTGAGGGTCTGGAACACTGCACCCTACTGGAGGAACTTTCTCTTAATGACAACAGTATCAGCAGACTGGAAGGTAGTGCTCCTTCTTTCCCTTTTTCAATCTTTTTTCCACTGTATCAGTTTAATATAAAACCAGGGACAAAGCTGTGTAATATAACCTTCATGTGTTCATTGCTGCTCTTGTTTGTTGGGTGTGTGGCAGGTTTGTGTGCGATGCATCGTCTGACTCGTCTGAGCATTAACAGCAACCACTTACAGTGTTTAGACGGGGATGTTTTGGACCAGCTACCCAACCTTCACTTCCTGTCTGTAGAGAACAATATCATCTCATCTCTGCATGGGTTTCAAAGGTCACGGTCCTTATTCGAACTCTATGTCGGCAATAATGACATCAGCACCACCCGAGACATATACCACTTAAAGGTAAGGAGATTTTATAGATTTGAATATCATTTTGTGCAATTAATGATTTTTTAAGCCTTCATTCAAAGCAACCATTGATGTGAATGCATGTAAAGTGCTGTAGGGTAATGTTAAAGTGAATAAAGTGTGGTGGTGGTGGTGATGTAGTGTCTTTTTCTCTCAGGCACTGTCTAGTTTAATTATTCTGGATCTGTATGGGAATCCCCTTGTAAACAAACTGGAGAACTACAGGATCTACATGGTTTTCCATCTGCCTTCACTCAAAGCACTGGATGGAGTAGCTGTGGTAAAAATAACTGATGCTTATGTATGTATAGTGTTTGTTTATATATGTATGCTACTGTTCAAAAGTTATAAAGAAATAAGTACATTTATTCAGCTGCATTTTCCAAGCAATGAAAGTGAAAGGGACTGGAGGCTGACTGTTGGCAGAATTTTAATTTATGGGTGAACCATATGGGTATTTAAGTTTTAAAAAATACAAGCGTGTCTGTGCTGTGTAGGAAACGTGTGAATCAGAAACTGCTAAGGACGTGTTTGGAGGGCGGCTCAATGCAGATATGGTGGCTGAGAAGCTGGGCCATACCAGCTACAGAGACCTGTCAGAACTCAACCTGCAGTCTAGCTCAGTCAGGTTCACATTAACTCTCACTACAATCCTACAGTCAGAATTAAACCAACACAGCAGAACTGGATATGTTGCTTCACGCTTTATGATTTCTGTTTTACTGTGTGTTTTAGAATGGTGGATCTTGCTCCTGCTGATTTGTTCAGTAATTTACGCAGTATTAATCTAGATCACAATAACCTCACCTCATTCAGCGGTCTCATCTTCCTACCCAACATTAAGGTACATATGAGTTTAGGATAGAACGTAAATACAACTCTTATGTCTGTCTTTGTCTATGTTACTGGTTATGTATACTAACATTATATACAAATGTCCACTATGTGTCTATGTACATATATATATATATTTTTTTGTTTGTTTGTTTTGTTTGTACATGTGGTCTTGCAGGTGTTGTCGCTGAACTATAACCACATTGAGTCAATTCTACCATGTCAAAAAGTTCAGAGTCACATGAGCAACAAGCAGAATCTCTATCATAAAGTCAGTTCCAGTGGATATGGGCAGCAGAACAGCAGGCCCAGCAGGTGCTCACACACACACACACACACACACACAACAATACTGTCATGATCTATTGGGGTGATATACTGTAGTTTCTTGTCTAACCACTAGGGAGCATCACAATTACATATAATAAGAGATTCTCAGACAGTGAGTGTGTTTATAACCAGAGAAAACTCGCAGCTTCATAGGTGGCAACGTTTTGGGAGTAAAAGCCACATTTATTAACAAATTGTATGTACCGCATACAGTATTAATGCCATAAACTATACTCTTCTAGATGACACATACACATGTGCCTCGCATTAATTTTTTCTCACTTTCCTTTAAAATGTGCTTCTCCTCTCTTCCTTCTCTTTGTTTGTAGGGAGGGATTAACTGATAATCTGGAGCCTCTGATGTCCAGTTTGGAGGTTTTGCATTTAGGTTATAATGGTATATCCAACTTGATCAATCTACAAATCAGCCGACTCACTAACCTCAGAGTGCTGTTCCTACAAGGTATGTACAACCAAAGTCCCTTTAAGGCAAGTCATGTCACTCAGCGGCCATCTTTGAAACACCTCTCGGCATGCCAGTGCAGCTCCATCTCTTTGAATGGGGAAACATCAATTTCTCCTAAACTGTTTGCCAAGCTTATGATTACATTTCATATTTGAAATCACCAATGAAATCTGGCAACAACTGTATCATAAATGTTGTTTATTTTGCTCAAATAGCATTATTTTTCAGGCTAGACCAGCCAGTGTGCATGCGCAGTCCTAGGCGCACGTCTCAGAATGCTTACTCTTTCTATAGCAACTTCCCATTAATGCCATTATAGTGTTCATTCAAACTGGTTCACGAACGAAGAATGCGCATGAACACAAAAGTGGCGGGATTTATCGCATGGACCAATCACAGCGAAACATAACCAGTCACACCCAGTCATATTGCGATGGAGGCATTGCCACCTCTCACGTGACTTTCCCCCATTCATTCTCAGTTACCCCCCCAGTAAACTCACGGCACGCTTTTGGGGGTCTGTTAAAACCTTAGACTGTTAAACCTCAATGGGTTCAGGGGGCAAGAGAGACGTAGACTCCTGCTGTAACTTTACCTGCTGGTGCTGCTGTTGGCCAGTGTTTCTATAGAAAAACGAGTGATTTATACACTTTTTTTATTAACAACATACAAACCAGAATGCAAACATGAAAATGCATATCAATTCAACTTAACTACCTACCCTCCCACACTTTTGAATGTTATATTTTGTAATATTGACATTGTTTTATTTTTGTACTACAAATTTTTTTTCTCATCCAATATTTTGAGGAGACACTGCCTCCCTTGCCTCCTCAGAGGAAATGCTCCTGGTACAACCTCTCTTGTACAGCTGTTCATCACTGTCTGCAAACATATCCTCACTGAAATATACAGAAAATATTTATGTTTCAAATAAATGCTGTTCTTTCAAATTCAAAGAATTCTGAAAAAAAAACCCGTTTTCACAAAAATATTAAGCAGAACATCTCTTTTCAACATTGATAATAATAAGAAATGTTTCTCGAGCACCAAATCAACATATTAGAATAATTTTTGAAGGATCATGTGACACTGAAGCTGAAAAATAGCCTAAGCTTTGCCATCACAGGAATAAATTCAATTTTAAAGGGTTACTCCACCCCAAAAGGAAAATTTTATCATTAATTACTCACCCTCATGTCGTTCCAAACCCGTAAGGCCTCCGTTCATCTTCGGAACAAGTTATTTTTGTTTTCTTTGCGTACAAAAAGTATTCTCGTAGCTTCGTAAAATTACGGTTGAACCCCTGATGTCACATGGATTATTTTACCGATCTCCTTGCTACATTTCTGGACCTTGATCGTGTTACTTGCATTACTGTCTATGGGAGGGTCAGAGAGCTCGGAATTTGTGTTCCGAAGATGAACGGAGGTCTTACGGGTTTGGAACGACATGAGGGTGAGTAATTAATGACAACATTTTCATTTTGGGGTGGAATAACCCTTTAAAATATATTGACATAAAAAACATTTATTTTAAATTGTAATAATATTTTCCAATATTACTATTTTTGATCAAATAAATGCAGCCTGGGTGAGAATAAGAGACTTCTTTTAAAAACATGAAATGTTTAAACAATGCATATATTCTTTAATATGATCTTCTCTAAGTGTCTTCTCTTTTTCTCTAAGGGAATGATATCAGTCAGGTAGATGGATTGGATGGTTTGCGGAGACTACGTGAGTTGGTTCTGGATCGAAATCGAATTAAATCTTTGAGTGAGAACTCATTCTGTGGACAGGGAGTTTTGCTGGATTTGCACCTGGCAGAAAATCGCATCCGTGAACTGATCCACATTCAGCCTCTCACTGAGCTCCGGAGACTGTTCTTAGACATGAACAAAATACTGGTACACAATAACACCTACACAAAATACACAAAAACCTACCTAAAATACAGGTACACATTAAATATGCGCACAAAGTTTCATTCTTGACTGTAAAGCTCCACAAAGGACAAAAAACTGACTTTTCCAAGCTTCTGGTGGGAAACACACTATAATTTGTTATATGCTGGAAAATGCTAGAAACTATCTCTTTAATTTATCATTTAAACAATTGTAAATCACCTCACTAATAATGAAAACATTTGGTATTTGAGTCATGGCATATTTCTAGAGCAAATACATAGAAGCAGTTTGGTTCATATTCATTAGTTAGACAGACAGGTCTTTCAGATATAGTTAATCTTATGATAGGTATAATTTACCATAATAACAGGATATATTTAAGTGTTGTAGGTCAGGATGTATATATATATATATATATATATATATATATATATATATGCCAGTTTTAACTGTTTGTAAATTAGCTAGCAATTTCTGAATGAAAATTACTTTTACACCATTTTTTTAACTGTGTGTGTACATACACACACACACACACACACAAGAAACTTAGGAACACAGTTACTCTCAACCCCACTGAGAGTGTGTGTAAGTTTGAGTACTTGAGGCTTGCTTTTATTATTCACCCCTCCATTCTAATCTGTCTGTATGTGTGTAGCTGCAGTTTTACTGTAATTACTAAATTACAGTAATTCAGTCACTTAGTGTGTTTGTATTAGTGTTGTTAGTCCCTGTGAGAGCTCTGCCTTTTTCCTGCCCCTGAATATAGAGTAATTACAGACAGCCATTACTGCACCAGCACAGCAGCCCAAGGGGACAATTAAGCAGTATTTACATTGATTGAAGGTCAGAGGTGTGTGTGTGTGTGTATGTATGTATGTTTGTGTGTGTGTGTATGTTTGTGTGTGTGTGTGTGTGTGTGTGTGTGTGTGTGTGTTCTTGAGACTCACTGATCTTTTTGATTCACCTCCTCATTCCTTTATCTTTGTGGAAATCATGACATGTTAACAAAAACCTTTAAATGGATGTTTCTTGTGTCCTTTTCATTGTTTATTCCCCTCTTCATATGCCTGTTTATTTGAAACATTTTAATACAGTAAACATAGGAGTTAACGTGACAAAAATAACTGTTCAAATATTTGAGATGAAGATATACTATACTGATATATTATGCTACTATAGTCAAATAAGGAAGCCTAAAAGAACAGTTGCTCTGCTTTGATGCTCAATTCCATTCATTTCAATTCCATGGGAGTTTTGCATGAGGGCACAAAAGGTCTTGAAGCTAATTTTGCCCATGTTCAAGTTGATCATGCAAATTCACCATGCTGGCCAACAGAAAGCTAAAGCGAAACTGAAAAATAGACCATTTCTTGCCCACAAAATTACGCATAGATTTGGCAAATGTGACACCTTAAGATGATAAAAGGGAGAAATCTTTATCAAATATAGTTTAAAATGCATGTGCCACATTCTTAGAAATGTAATTTTTGTATTCATATTGGTTTTATACTTAAAAAAATATTTAATGACAAATCTAAAATATTGAGTGTGTCAAGCAAAAAGTAATAAAAGATGTCCACATATTTCAACATAAACAGTTTTCAACATTGATAATATTAAGAAATGTTTCTTCACCAAAGATTGGCGTAATGGCTACTAAAAAAATCAGCTTTGCCCTCACAGGAATAAATTACATAAAAAATATATTAAAATAGGAAACAATTATTAAATTGTTATAATATTTCAGAATAGTAATGTTTTACAGTATTTTTGATCAAACAAATGCAGCCTTGGTAAGCACAAAAGACTACATTCAAAAACAACAACAAAATCCTACTACCCAAACTTTAGTATATATAAAAATTATATATGTATATAAACAATAGTCAATTTGTTTCTTTTTTGTAAGTGTCTAAATGCAGTATGTATATCAAAGTGTATTTATAACCTAATATGTCTTTTGTTTGTGTTACAGGACATTTTAGAACTGGAGAAACTGGAGGTGCTTCCTTCCCTCATGGAACTGTCTGTAGTGGGCAACCCAGTGAGTCACACACACACACACACACACACACACAGGTTTGTTTTTATGGTTTATGGGGACTCTCCATAGGCGTAATGGTTTTTATACTGTACAAACCGTATTTTTTATTGCCCTACACCAACCCTACTTCTAAACCTACCCCTTACAGGAAACTTTCTGCATTTTTAGATTTTCAAAAAAACGAATTCTGAATTATTTATAAGCCTTTTGAATTACGGGAACACTGAACATGTCCTCATAAATCTCCTTCTCGTTGTAATACCTATGTCATACCCATGTTATTATACAAATTTGTGTCCTCATAAACCACATAAACATGCACACACACACACACACACACACACACACACACACACACACAAACAATGCTCTAGATGAAGAGATTTCAAACTGAGACCTTGGCTCAAATGCAAACTAACCATGATTACAGACAAATCCTTACACACACACACACTCACTCTCTGGTTCTGAATAAATACAGTATGTTTTGTCCTCTTTACTTGGTCGAATATCCCTTTAATTAGACATAATATTTTGCACTACGACATACCAAGTGTGTGTGTTGCAGGTAGCTCGACGGTCACTGCACAGGCCAGCAGTTGTACTACATCTGTCTACACTTCATGTTCTGGATGGCATGACAGTCACCCTGGAAGAAAGAACCAGAGCAGAGCTTTTAAATAATGAAGCACAGGTAGCTCACACTTACTATTCAGATCGAATGAATGGATCAGATACAACTTATACTGCAGAGACAGTTACCTTGTGCATGTGTGTAGGGTTCTAGTTCAGGTGGTGAAGTGACTTTACCCGGTTTGGTACCATTGGTGACCCGACCGGCTCCTTTAAGAGGTGCAGGAATGCACTCACTCGTACCTGATCAGCAAGACGATGCACATGATACCAGCAGGTGTACGTATACATACAGTACAGACACACACCAGATGTGTGTTAAACACAAACGCACACCATGAATACATTTTTGTGTGTGTGTTTTTAGATAGGAAGCAGAAAGCAGTTGTCTCTCTCTTGCGTGGAGTTCAGAGTGACTTCAACTTCAGGCAGATCAGAGGATCTTCCAGCCACTACGTGACAGCGCTACAGCAGACCAGATACAGAGTTCTCTCCGCTTTCCCTAACGCTGATCCTGAGACCAGGTCTGTACATACACTCACGCATATACAGTATAGGTCTTTATGTGATGTTGAAGGATAGAAAGCATATTAACCCTCATGTCGTGTTCTTGTCATTTCACGTGGAGAGGATTTTCTTTTCCTAAAAATACTAGTTAATGTTATCGCATTGGACTAAAACTTACTGACTTTACTCACACAGGGTATAACAACTTCCCAAAACCACAACTTCTTGAACTTTTTTTGCTAAATATATATTTTTAAATCATTTTGGAACTGATTGGTCCTGGTCCTCATTGATCTCATCTTATGCACCTCCGATTTTAAGTGAATATTGCCAAAATTATCCACAAATAATGCGTTTTCACTCAAAAACTGAGATGCATAAGCTTCAATCAATGAGGCCTATGACCAGTCAGTTCCAAAAAGAAACACAAAACCTGTGCTAATTGAAAGAAAACAAGTTGTCATCCCAGGATAATTTACAATTTTACGATTTACAAGCCATTTTTAAATGGTTGGTCATTTTTGACTGTGAACACCAGATTAGGTAAAGGATTTTCAGCCCAGCACAAGGGGTAATCTTGATATTCTCCACAGGTACAAGTGTCACAGTGTACCCAGACCTCCTCCTCCTCCTCCTCCTCCTCCTCCTCCTCCTCCTCTGTAACGCAAAGTCATAGATGCACTAAGTGTGTCATGAATTTCAGCTTTGGTCTTGTGTGTTGTTGTTCATCTTTGGATCTTAGATAGGACTTAAATTGACAATTTATTTATTTGGAATTGTGTCAATATCAAAGATATTAAATGTACATTTTCTATTCAAGACTTTGAGTGGTGTCCTTTATCTTAAGTCTTTGTCCTTGCAACATTCTCACTCTCCATGAGGTTTGGTTTTATTTATTTTTTTTAAATGTATTTGATAGCTATGAAGTCACTTCAAATATAAAAGTATATACAAAACATTTGTCAAAAACATTTTTCTTGGAAACTCAAATGTTTTGGCCTGTAGTTGCAAAACCTGTCCATTGAGGGGTCCCAGAGGGCTGGTTTGGTTTTTAATTTATTTTTAGCCTCAGTGGAACTGGTTGGAACATATAAACATTAAAATTTAACAGTACTAAAAAAAATTAATTGTAATATTTTTTTCTTGATTTTACTTTTATAATAATAATAATTATTATTATTATTTGTTTTAATGTATTCTATAGAGAATAATAAGAAATTATTAGTTTTGTTATTATTGTTATTTGTCGTTAGTATAATACATAATTGTACACAAGCATAATAATAATTTTTTTATAGAATAATGTAATTTGTACATTTGTACTTGATCCTTAAGGAAAACCATTTCCTGCTCATTTATAATACTCACACATACACACTATCAACTATTGCACTTCTGTGTCTGTTTTTCTTTTTATGACAAACACATCTCATGCGATTCAGAGTTTTGCCATCAGCTTTTCTCTAAGAAATAAAAGCCCACTCTGGGGTGGAATAGTTCTCGTTACAGCTATGGCAAACAGTGATTTGTGTCAGACTGTGACACTGAAAAGAGAGCAGAGGTTTTAGTCTGATGTGTTTATTTTCAGTGGGCTGTATTATGAGGGCAGTTTAGCAGCACAGCTGAAAATCCAATGTCTGGAGAAATTCAAAGGCAATCACACACATAATGTGTTCAGTAAAAACCTGTTATCACAGCTCAAGGTAATTCTCTTCCTGTTTTCCTCTGGAGTATAATGGTGGGGGTTTGCAAAAGGAGAAAGACACAGAGAGAGAACCAAATCTAACAGAATAAAAGAAGATATATTAAAATGTGGAGAAAATGAGAAAGGAAAGCCAGAGTGAATGCTGTTGAATTTAATGGTGGACCTGCTATGGAAATAACACAGAGCACAGTGAGTGTGTTGTCCAAGCACTGTTCAAAGGAATACAGAGATACGTCTGAGCATCTTGCAGCAGGAACGTTCCTTTTTATCTGTTGGTCTCATGCAGGGATGTGTGTCAGACTTGAAAATAGTTCATTATAATTAAATTAATTTTAGCTTTTCAACTTTTCAAAAAAAAAAAAAAAGTCAGTGTCTGATTGCATAGCTTTTTGATTTGGTTTATGCATGTATATTGTCATTTCCCCGTGCCTAATTAGCCTATACTAGAAAATAATGATCAATAGATAAAAGCTGGAAATCACATTAGTTACCTTTACTTTATCATAATCTTCACATTTAAGTGAGAACGGGGTTAATTTCATTACTTTCACTGCTTTGATTTAAACAAATGTAATTTCTGCTATGCACATTCTAACAAAAAAAGGATCAAGTCTTATTAAATGTGTTTCTTTGTTTTTTTTTTATTAAATGTTTAATTAAATTGATAATTAAAGTTAATATTCTTCACATTGTGCAAACAGTCAAATATAAATGCCAGAGCTTGAGCATTTGCAATATTAATACCTCTTTAAATTACAACACAAGTATATAATTTTTTCAAAAGGCTCCTGCACAACAAGAATGACCTTGTTAATAGTTTTGCCAGCATATCATTTGCAGTTTTGCCATTTTATATTTTCATGGCTAATTCTGTGAGGAAAAATAAATGTCTGTACGTAAAGACGTAACCGTGTGTGTCGTGTAGCGCCGCCCTTCAGGCCGTGTTGCCCAACTGCAGCATCAGCAGAAGCGATGATGGAGAGCGGGTTCGTTTTATCCCCACACAAACCATATACTCACCCTTCTAACACCTCTCCAGCCCTTCTCATTTAAAGGTATGTGTTGTTAAAAACAAAAGAAGGCTGTTTCTATTTCTTTTTTTGCCATGTGGAAAAATAAACCGACTTTACACCTAAACAGGAGCAGCTAACGCTAGCCGCGCTAACCAGTTTATTGCCGCTTTCTCGCCTCTGTCCTTTATCTGCTGTGTTTGGAAGAAACCAAGACGATATTATTATGCCATATGATATAAGAGCTGTGTGTTTGGTTATTATAATGGTCTGTACACCGGTTGTCACGTTAATGTTTGTCTCTTGTTGTCATAGCTGCAGTGTTAGCATGTGAACAGATCACAGGATACAAATCAACAAGACTGCATTAAAAACGTAAATCTGAGGATTATAGCCACAAATCAAAGGATAAGAGCACGTAATTCACAGGATAAACCCGCGAAGTCACTGGTTTGAGGCTGATTGACTCCGCAACAATCAACCTGTTTTATGCTGTGTGTTTATTTTGGCTTATAATCATCTCTGCTTATTTTGCTCGGGTAACATCAACAAACAGGTACAAATACACAGATGCTCTGAGGTTATAAAACGTGGTTATTTTTATTTTATTTTTTTACCACGTGAGTATGGTTTAAAAAAAATAAAAAAAATTGTAACTTGGTAACTAATATCTATCTGGGTAAGTTACTTCCCTGGTTGATTAATTACAAGACACACACACACATATATATATATATATATATATATATATATATATATATATATACACATAAGCTCTGACAACATAGCCACGTGTTCTAGTCTACTAATAATACAATTATTTACCAGAAATATTATTTACCAGAATTTATTTAGGAGAAAAAATGTAAATGTGCAGTATTTCTGAAAAAAACAAAAAAAACTTTTTAAATAAAATAAATTAATTGGAGATGCTTTTGATTATTAAAATGTAATGGAACCATTAAAAAGGAATCCAGAGAATAATGGAAAACAGAATTTGGTAAAAGATAAAGCTGTAAAAAAAAGTTAATTTAATTTAACCATTAAAACAGAGTATAGAAAAAAACTGAATTTGGAAATAAATAAGGATTAGAAAAAGGCTAATCCTTGTTTAATATTGACCAAGCACCATTTCATTCAAATGTCCACTTAATCTTTCATATTTGGCCATTTCTTTAACAACATAGCCACGTGTTCTAGTCTACTAATAATACAATTATTTACCAGAAATATTATTTACCAGAATTTATTTAGGAGAAAAAATGTAAATGTGCAGTATTTCTGAAAAAAACAAAAAAAAACTTTTTAAATAAAATAAATTAATTGGAGATGCTTTTGATTATTAAAATGTAATGGAACCATTAAAAAGGAATCCAGAAAATAATGGAAAACAGAATTTGGTAAAAGATAAAGCTGTAAAAAAAAGTTAATTTAATTTAACCATTAAAACGGAGTATAGAAAAAAAACTGAATTTGGAAATAAATAAGGATTAGAAAAAGGCTAATCCTTGTTTAATATTGACCAAGCACCATTTCATTCAAATGTCCACTTAATCTTTCATATTTGGCCATTTCTTTACGACAGAAATTCTACAGCCACTGTAATTAAATGAGTATGTGGACATCAAAACGTGTAAACTCAGAGTGAGGGTTTGAGCTTTTATTTTGAAACCGCGATGTATTCTCTTGTGTTTGCTAGATTTATAAATTATTTACCTTACAAATCTGATGAAATGGCGCATGTTGCGTTCCCAGATGAACGTTATAATAAACCCAAACTCACAGCAGGAACTACTGTGAACGGAGCCGCTGTGGGACGCACGTACTTAACCCACACGCATGTAAATAATTAAAGCACATATACTGTATTAGAACGGCATCATATAATTATTTAATTAAATCGTAGCGTTTGTGAATTCACAATTATGCTTAATTATGATTTTTAAATGGGTTTAATATATCATGCAGCCTTGGAAAACAAACTAATAATGTGTTTTATACATTCTCGTCTGTGAAATGCGCCACTTCCGGTATTTTGCTGGTTAGTCGACGTGAGCGAAATGAAGTCGAGAAGTTTTAAATATCGAATAGTCGAATAAAATCGACAAATCGTGACAGCCCTACTTCCATTAGCATTTTAATTTAATTCAGTTTTAATTGATTAATTACATGAAATACTGATTAATTGAATTATTTGCATATATGCATATTTGCTAAATAAAAACTCCCAAATGAAGATAATATTATAGAAAATATTTTTTACATTATTTTATAATTATTATTTTTTTCATTATTCTAGTCATTAAATGTTAAAGACATGCAATACACTGCTACTCCATCTATGCTCTATGAGATATTAGTGTAAATTGTAATATTGTTTGTGTTTGTGTGTTCCAGTGAATCACTGTCAGCGGGGCATGCGTGTGTGTTCCAGAACAGCTGGGAGGAGATGACCGAGTCTGTCCCTCCCGTGCTGCGTTCATCATCATGGGGCCTGATGTGCCCTTGCTCAACGATTACAAGCAGGAGTTCTTCTGGAAGCGTTTCCCGCAGACTGTCTTGGGGGGACCGAGGCTAAAACTCGGCTACTGCGCCCCACCGTATGTCTATGTGCACCAGCTGGTGTTATTTCTGACACCATGGCTGTTGGGAGGCATCGGGACCCTCCTGTACCAGCTGAGGGTGCTGGATGAAAATTATTATTTTTTTCATTATTCTAGTCATTAAATGTTAAAGACATGCAATACACCGCTACTCCATCTATGCTCTATGAGATATTAGTGTAAATTGTAATATTGTTTGTGTTTGTGTGTTCCAGTGAATCACTGTCAGCGGGGCATGCGTGTGTGTTCCAGAACAGCTGGGAGGAGATGACCGAGTCTGTCCCTCCTGTGCTGCGTTCATCATCATGGGGCCTGATGTGCCCTTGCTCAACGATTACAAGCAGGAGTTCTTCTGGAAGCGTTTCCCGCAGACTGTCTTGGGGGGACCGAGGCTAAAACTCGGCTACTGCGCCCCACCGTATGTCTATGTGCACCAGCTGGTGTTATTTCTGACACCATGGCTGTTGGGAGGCATCGGGACCCTCCTGTACCAGCTGAGGGTGCTGGATGAAGCCTTTGCAGGTGTTGTTTCCAGTGTGCTCATGCTGAGTGTTGGTGCCACCCTTCAGGGACTGGCACGGTGTATGGCACACAGGACCGGAGTGGTACAAAGGCTGCCTGCTGCCAATAACATTCTTGCAGATGAGGAGGAGGTGGAGTTTACTCACTGTGTGGCTCCTGAGACGGTACATTTTGTGGTGCCTGGGAAGAAGTTTATGGGTAATGTAGTTTTTCACACTTTTCTTGCTGGAGCACTATGTGGGTTGTCCACATGGTACCTGCTGCCAGACAGACTGAGCGGCCTGTATGGGCACACGGGTGCAGGACTGGGAGCTGTCGTGCCTTTGTTTGCCCTGAGCTGGGTGACTGTCTGTATTGGGGAGTATTCGCTCATCGTCAACACGGCTACAGAAACAGCCACATTTCAGCCGCAGGACACATACGAGATCACGCCGCTCACCAGACTGCTCTACATACTCGCCTTCATTACCGTGGACCTGGCTCTAAGGTACAAATCCCACAATTCACCACTACTCCTTGACAGCATATAGGTCAATGACAAAGAAGTCTGTCCATGATAAAGAAAGGGAAACAACCTTTTGAAAAAAACTATTTTAAAACACGTCTTAGAAATGTATTCTTTGTATTCATGTTGTGTTTTTGTTTTTTTTTGTTTTGTTTTTTTGGAGGCAATCTGTTCACAATTTTCAAGATAAAGTTACATTTAATAACATTTAAAAATAGCAGCTGTTGTAAATAGGGTTGCAAAGGGGCGGAACATTTTCAGTAAATTTGCGGAAACTTTCCAAGGGGGCTTCGTCTGGGGAATTTTGGAAATATTCCAAGCTTGAAACTTACCAGGAATTTATGGGAATTAATTGGAAATTTGGGGAAATTTATAAAACTATTATATAGAAACATAAATATAAACATTTTGTTTGATCATAGGATCTAATACAATACTATCTAAATCTAATACTAATACAAATTTAAAAAATGACATTTTTGGGGGGGAATCTGATGCTTTTTTCAGGATTTATTGATGAATGAAAACTAGGGCTGCACGATTAATCGCATGCCATTATCATGCGCATCTCGTCAGTAAAGCCGGTTCTGTGATTGATAGTAAATCTCCATCACGTGCTTTCAGATGGTGCGGCATTTAATACACCGAGTGAATGATAGTGTATATCAAACCTGTATTTTCCAGAGAAATTATTTCCCAAACTACATAAGACTTTTTTTTTTTTCAAGATTTGTTCTTTTTATAAGGTTTTCCATTTCATGACGATCTTTATGCCTCTCAGGAAATATTAAAATCAATATTTATTCTGAAATTCAAAACATGCTCAAAAATACTCAGACATAGAAGAGGTGTATTTAATTCATTGTATGTATGAATGATATTTTTATTGTTTCTTTGCGCAAATTAATAGATTTTTCAGACAAAAAAATTGAGCATCTTGTCATTGATTCATATGCTGAGTGTTATGAGCTTATACTTGAAACCTGGCATTGTGTACTGCAAATATGAATGGCTCTTAGAGAAATTGCTTGTCTTGTTCCTCAGTAAGTCGCTTTGGACAAAAGCATCTGCTAAATAAATGTAAATGCTGAGATTTAATTGAGTGTTTTCTTTGAGACTGTTGTTATATAACCTAATCTTATGAGGATTGTATGAGTATGAATGTCAAAAGTCATTGCTGAGCCTGACATATTATTCTCCTGGATCTCAGTCTCTCTCTCTCCTCTCAGGTTTTCAGGTTCTGGTGTGGTAGAATTGCAAGTAGCAGCTCAGGTGCTTCACGTATTGTTTGTGGTTCTGCCAGTGCTTTGGGCTCTGGGAATGCTCTCGCCGCTGGACGCTCTTTTGCTCTGGGCCATGGAACAGACCTTAGTGCACGGCCTGGGTGGGTCAGCCATGTCCACCAACATCAGGTGAGCAATAAATCTGATCTCATATAACCAGACTAACTAAGTTTGGTCTACATTGCAGTCCTTTCTGGTGAAGGCTTTCACGCTTTAATCAGACTTCTATTGTATAAAAGTCAAGTGTGCGATCCCTTTAACTATGATCTTCTGTTTTTCTTTTTTTCCAGGCTCTTGGTGATGCTTCTGTCATCTGTGTGTGTTGCCATCTGTACCTTCTTCATTCCCTCCTCATTGGGTGTGGTTCTGTTCACTGTTGCAATGGGTTACCTCCTCAGCCAGGACCTGACCCAGCTGCTGGTGCTGGTGAAGGGCACATCTCCTACCTTGGGTCTGGGCTGGTGGGGACTTCCTCTTTCCCTGATGTTCATTATAGGAGCTTTGACTGAGGCTGGACTCCTTCATAAGCTTTACTTCATCAACTCAAGGAATCTAACGTTGGGTGTGAATTCTATAGAGCACTGGGAGTCTTCTATTGTAGCCCCAAGCCCACAGGAGGTGGTCGGCTGGATCCTTATAGCTCTGTTTCTTCTCACTCGTCTGCTGAGAGAGCTCCAGGGGGCGTGTGTGCTGGGAGGTGCCATGCTCAACCCACTGTATCCCAAACGGGTCACGACTGCCCAGGCTTTCAGGCAGAAGACCCGAGGTCTGCGTGTCGCAGGGATCATCCGGAGGATCCTATTGAACCTCGGTGAGGAGATGCTTGCACTGTACCAACTAAAGAAACAATCCTTTGTCTTTCTGTATAGTCTGTTGCAGGGAGATGTTGACTTGGCATTGATAACACACATGGATGCATGATATATATCAATGCTACATTGGTTATTTGTTTGATTATCACAGTTTTTTAAATGTATCGCTACTTGTCAGTTTTGGGAATTTTACAATAAATATGTAATTGTGCATGCACCTAAAAATGTAAGTGTAATTTTTTATCATTTAACATTCACTGAAACTTCATCTTTAAAAAATGCTTTATAATAATTAAAAATTAAATATTAATAATTTAATACCACTGTTTATCAAGTCTCAAAATTAATAACATACTGTACATTGAAATGTTGTGCAAAATTTTGTAGAATTTCAAAGTTTTTATAGCTTTTTTTATTTTGACAAAGTATAGAATTCATATTATAAAAAATGAGTGTATAAAATTAGTATGTATATACATATATATTTAATTGGTTTATCAGTACTGATGAGAACTTTTAAATTGGTGCATCTCTGCCAGCGCATAATTCTGTTATGTGTGCATTTAATGTGAATTTTCGTATTTGACTTCACAGTGAGTCCGCTGGCGATGATTGCGTTTTTGTCTGTGGATGAATCTCTAGAGAAAGTGCACACGGCCTCTCTCGCCATTGGCTTCACACGGGCATTCAGGATGGTACGTAAGTTTATTGTTACACCTTCTTGAAGCAATATGGCCGTATAGACATGAACAGCACACTTTCACCAAAATACCCCCTTAATCTTTGGCCCCTGACTCTTTGGCCTTTGTTCGGCAGGTGTGGCAGAGCTCTGAGGCTGCTTTGCTGCAGATGGTGTTGGTGGTGATCATCAGACTTGCAGGGGGGCACAGAGTCGCACGCTGGAATGAGTTGGGCACTACAGTGCAGCTGATACTGGTGAGCCAAACCTAACTAAATGCATTTACTGTAATAAAATTGCAGGGATATTTGTATAATAACACTTTTCTTATCCATCCCCTTTTCTGGCAGGTCTCTCTATTTGTGAATCGTGTATCTCAGTTTGTATGTAAGCTGAGTTTTGCTCTTACGGTATTGATCACGTCCTGGACGGAGAGTAAACAGCGTCGTCAGTCGGCGGGAACTCTGCTAGCACTCAATGCTGCTCTATTCCCAGTTTTGCTAGGTGTTGTGGCTCTCTCTGCCCTTCTATCTGCCCCTCTCCTTCCTCTCTTCACACTACCGGTGTTCCTGGTGGGATTCCCCAGGCCGCTGCGCTCGTGGCCAGGCACCCCAGGCACTGCCTGCCCTTGCCCAGATTCTGTATATTACCAGCAGCTCTGCAAAAGACTTGCATCTGCTATCAGACCTGCATTTGCTAGTGGTGCATTTGGTGAGTGAGACCAACTGAGAAACATATTGCTGATCTGTAGCACAGTCTCAGCTCAGAATCATATTTTTGGAATGTTCCTCTAGCTCACACAGTAGAGCAAAGCGCTAACAATGCCAAAGTCATGGGTATTTTAAGTCACTTTGGATTAAAGGATGCATTAAATTGGCCCAAAGTGACAGTTTACATTACTCCCACCCAAAAAAAATTAAATGTTCTTTTGAATTTTCTATTCATCAGAGAATTCTAAAAAATGTCTGCTGATCTCTAGCACAGTCTCAGCTCAGAATCATATTTTTGGAATGTTCCTCTAGCTCACACAGTAGAGCAAAGCGCTAACAATGCCAAAGTCATGGGTATTTTAAGTCACTTTGGATTAAAGGATGCATTAAATTGGCCCAAAGTGACAGTTTACATTACTCCCACCCAAAAAAAATTTAATGTTCTTTTGAATTTTCTATTCATCAGAGAATTCTAAAAAATGTATCATGGTTTCCACAAAAACATTAAGCAGCACAACTGTTTTTAAGATTACTAATAATAAGAAATGTTATTTGTGCACCAAATCGGTATATAAGAATGATTTCTGAAGGATCATGTGACACTGAAGACTGGAGTAATGACTGCTGAAAATTCAGCTTTGCCATCACAAGAAAAATTAGCATTTTAAAGTATATTACAATGCAGAAATCAGCCATTTAAAGTCACAATATTTCACAATATTACTGAACATAGGAGACTTCTTACAAATAGATTAAAAAAACAATTTACCAACCCCAATCTTAAAGGGGTCATATGATGCGATTTCAAGTTTTCCTTTCTCTTTGGAGTGTTACAAGCTGATTGTGCATAGATAAGATCCCTGAAGTTGCAAATTCACAATATTTCACAATATTACTGAACATAGGAGACTTCTTACAAATAGATAAAAAAAACAATTTACCAACCCCAAACTTAAAGGGGTCATATGATGCGATTTCAAGTTTTCCTTTCTCTTTGGAGTGTTACAAGCTGATTGTGCATAGATAAGATCCCTGAAGTTGCAAAGACTAAAGTCTCAAAACCAAAGAGATATTCTTTATAAAAGTTAAGATGAGTCCTCCTCATCCTCTCACTTGAGGGGGCAAGACAGCTCCAGCCTCTCATCCTTTGCGGATTGGTCCGATGAGGATGATCTATTCGGTCCAGTCCCCATACGGCGGCCTATAAGAATGATGGTACGGACAGATGAAGGACAGACCGAGGTAGGGTTAGGAGTGTCTCTTCCAGGTTCTGTAGAGATCCACAGCCTGTACGAGAGCATGGCTCTGTCTTCTCTCCCCACCCTTAGACCTCTGGGTCTGGGTTTGGGGCTCGGCCTGCCCATTGTAGATAAAGGGAAAGATAACATCCCTTCACTTACTTCAACTACTGTCCTGAGAAACTCCCAGCCTCTCCACTTCACAAGCTCTCACTCAGAGCTCTTCTCTCTGCCTCCAGAATGGCGGACCGCCCAGTTGGCTTCCTCCAAACTCCAGGTTCTGCGACCCTGCTTCCCAGAGGCTTGGTTCTGCTTTTGTTTGTCCCAGCTGGTGCTGGAGAGTTTCGGGGAGGGAGACTTTGAGCAGGTGACACTGGGTTTGCAGGAGGACCATGCTCTGCGGGAGCTTTATACCCAGGTTGTGCTATCGTGTTGTGTGGCACTGGGGGCAGATGCTCAGGTGTTCAGCCCCAATCTGCTGTTCAGGCTGTACTGTGGGGACGGCCCCTGGACCGAGGGACTCGAGTGGCTCCGAGCCAATAAAGAGCTGCATCAGCTCACACTCAGGGCTTTCAGGTAACAGACAAGCAAGATTCAGCACACGTTTTCCTTCAAAAAATGGCCTAGATTTTCTCGTTTATTTAATATGTGACAGGTGTTGTATTATTCTGTGTGTGCAGGTACAGTGTAAAACTCTTGGTAGACCAGGCATCTCTTGGTCCGGTAGAGAGTCTGGATGAGCTCTACACAACTTTGCAGGATTACCATGAGAATTGGTTCATTGGCCTGGTAACAGACTGCAGTTGGCAAGACAGTGTTGCACAAGAGAAGCCCTTCCTATTCTCTCTCGGACACGATCTCACCATGGTAAACATTTACTGGAATGTAACCATTGCTACTGAACATTCTCGTATCTAGTTGTGAAACAATAAAAAGCATCTCTTCTGAGTATATATATATATATGAGTTTTTGCCATAACTAACCATGAATATAATGTTCATTGTACATTTTTATGCGCTATTTCTGCTAAATAGGCCCCGCCCACAATGATATCTCATTGGTCCAAAATCATGCTCCACATAAATTGGCTTGTGATTGTGTAATGTTGTGTTGGAATTCCAATTTTACTACATACAAATGACTGCATATGTTAGTACACTGTATTATTTTGAGACTATATATTTTTTTTTTATTGGTATCACTCGATATTGGATACTTAATTGTACATGCTTCTTTTCCCCCCATTTCATTCAGATTATTTTTGGCATAATCAAATGCTCAGTTATAATTGAAATTCTATTAATATGATTACAATTTAATAACACAGTTAAATGTCATTTTTAAGGAAATCTTAAAATGAATATCCATTTTTTGATGGCCTTTGTGGTTAAGATGCTTAAATTCACATTAAGCATTTGACAAATGATTTTATTTTTTTAAATTAATATAAAATGTATAGAATTTTAATATTGGCCATTACATTAATTATCAGCTTGTCTGTATTGACAAGAATTTAAATTGGTCTACCCCTACTCTTTTTCATGCATTCTTATGTCCCTTGAGTTTATTAATTTAATTTAACAAAAAAAGCTAAATGATCACTTACGGTTTCGTAATATTTTCTCTGTTTTCATAGGGGACATATACGAGCCGTGTGTTGTCCCTGCAGGAGAATCTAGTCCAGGTAGGAGTTTTGAATGAGGAGGGTGTGAGGGGCCAGTGGGCCAACCTGTCATGGGAGCTACTATATGCCACTAATGATGACGAGGAGCGCTACAGCATTCAGGCACATCCTGTGATGCTGAGGAACCTAACTGTTCAAGCAGCTGATCCACCTCTGGGATACCCCATCTATTCATCCCCACCCATCCATTTACACTGCTTATGATAATCACCTTCATTTGTTTACCCACACCGCTTCAGAGATCATGACACACAGGGATGCTACCAGCACATGAATTTCACAGTCAGAAGTTTCTGCATTTCATTTCTTCATTCAGAGTATGGTCAAATATTTTATTGAAAGTATGAAAATTGTTAGTTTTAGTGACATTTGACTTTTGAAAGAAATGCATGAATTTATGAATGTCAGCAGCTAGTAAATGTGCAAAATCCTCTCCAAACTCATTGAGACACAGAGCCCAGTTTAAATTTGTTCTCTAGAAAGTGTGCTCTATTTTCTCAACAATGAACCCTTGGGTGTCCTTGACTGAATCTCACCTCACATTGCTACCATTTCACATTTTTATTTTTTGTATTTTTTCACTTTCTTGTTAAGCATCCGTCAAGAGCCCTAAAAAGGAGAAACAGGAAAACCGTTGCTCTTTTAAAGAACCTGTTTGTCAGATCTCAAGGATGTGCCTTGGTTACTATATTCCGTGGTTATAATATTTTTTTTGTTCATGTGACCACCTGGCACCTATGGCTATGGCACCTTTGTTCATCCTATTTGAGCTCCGTCTTTATACGGTTGTGTAATTGTATGTATAGAAGTAATACAAATGTTTTGTATAAATACTTTACTGTCTTTTTTGTTCACACAAACTTAAAATGTTAGAATATTACATTCTATTTATAACTGATGTACAACATTTTAATACAGAAAACACAAAGAAAACAAATCATCTGCCCATGCATTTTTAAGAATGTACCATTTGTCTTCTTGCTATTGATACAGCAAGCAAAATATAAGGTGTTTTCATATTTATTTAATGACAGTGAAATGTCTGGGTGACTTTCCTGGGTCCTTCTGGTAAGGAATTCACAAATCAGTGTTTCCTGAAATTAGATTTTCAAGTTGTCTTGACCTTAGGCTTGCTGAAATATGCAGAGTCTGCATCCTAGAAAAGATGACGATTCAGAAAAGATATTACTGCTATTGTAGCATAAATAAACCAGTTCAGGGATCTGTTTACACCCACTACTCACCAGTCCAGCTTTGAAGTTCTGCACACGTTTTTTACCCAGAATGTTAGTCAAGTACCAGGCCAGAGTGGGACTGTACTGCCACAAATAGCAGAAGAGTAGAAAGGGCTGCTCGGCGATCCACATCTCTTTCACATGGTTGGCCAGACCTACCAGGGTGAGGTGAACGCAGCGCTCTGTGGACATCTTATGGGTCTGATCACCAGCTGTATCCACAGGCTAAAGAGAAAAAAAACCTTTTTATTTTAGCAAATGCAAAAGAATTTTGATTTAATGATCGTTTGTTTTGCTTTCTGAGTGCAGATAAGTATTATATTTACAGTATATACTGTTGTAGTTTTTATTAATATTTAAAATGAGCTTTTTTATTTAAATTGTAATTTTTTGTGCTTTTGTTTTATTTTGTATTTCTAAATTTACATGTTTTTCTTTGAGTTTTATTTCAGTTACTTTAGTACTTTTAAAGGGGAAGATTTTTTGTTGAAATACATTGTTTTTAGCCCAGTTTATTGTTAATTGACTATTGTTAAGTATGGCATTCATGGGTTTTTATCCCTCAATAGTGTAAACATTGAGCGTCCTAGGCACCATCGAAACATTATTAGAGTGTTCCACTAAGAGGTGCGTTTCCCAAAAGCATCATTAGCTAACTATGGTAGTTAGTTCCATTGAAATCTATTGGTAACGTACCATAGTTGCTTTTGGGAAACGCACCCCAAATCCATCAATCTCTTTCCTGCTTAACCAATAGCGAGTGTTTGGGGGCTTGGCTACTGTAGCAGGCTGAGCCAGAGGGTGTTAAGCTGACTTGTTACATGGAAAAAGAAATTCAGATTGTTACAGAAGTGCAAGCCAAAATTCGAAGACTTGCCAAAATATGCAGACAACGGGGTAAAACAACGGTAAACACTTGCGGTGCTTTTACACGTTTTGAATCGAGATGCCGAATTTGCAGAGTTTCTTCTCGCCAGGTAAGCTAAAATCTTTTTACAAGCTAAAAGTTTTTGCCACACATTTTAGCTTTTTACAGTCAATCCACAGATAAATAATCTTAAGAATAATCTTAAGGGCGTGTTAAAATAGTTCTGCAAAGGATTGTGTTTGAAAATATGCTTTATATTTGTAATTCCGCTAGGTGACACTAGTAGCGCAGAAACGGCAAACTTCACCTTTAAACATAATTCAGTAAAAATTTCCTTTAGTTTAAAGGGGTCATAGGATGGTACATGCACTTTTACAAGTTGTTTGAACTGAAATGTGTGTTGGCAGTGTGTGTACACAACCACCGGACAGATGAAGGACAGACCGAGGTAGGGTTAGGAGTGTCTCTTCCAGGTTCTGTAGAGATCCACAGCCTGTACGAGAGCATGGCTCTGTCTTCTCTCCCCACCCTTAGACCTCTGGGTCTGGGTTTGGGGCTCGGCCTGCCCATTGTAGATAAAGGGAAAGATAACATCCCTTCACTTACTTCAACTACTGTCCTGAGAAACTCCCAGCCTCTCCACTTCACAAGCTCTCACTCAGAGCTCTTCTCTCTGCCTCCAGAATGGCGGACCGCCCAGTTGGCTTCCTCCAAACTCCAGGTTCTGCGACCCTGCTTCCCAGAGGCTTGGTTCTGCTTTTGTTTGTCCCAGCTGGTGCTGGAGAGTTTCGGGGAGGGAGACTTTGAGCAGGTGACACTGGGTTTGCAGGAGGACCATGCTCTGCGGGAGCTTTATACCCAGGTTGTGCTATCGTGTTGTGTGGCACTGGGGGCAGATGCTCAGGTGTTCAGCCCCAATCTGCTGTTCAGGCTGTACTGTGGGGACGGCCCCTGGACCGAGGGACTCGAGTGGCTCCGAGCCAATAAAGAGCTGCATCAGCTCACACTCAGGGCTTTCAGGTAACAGACAAGCAAGATTCAGCACACGTTTTCCTTCAAAAAATGGCCTAGATTTTCTCGTTTATTTAATATGTGACAGGTGTTGTATTATTCTGTGTGTGCAGGTACAGTGTAAAACTCTTGGTAGACCAGGCATCTCTTGGTCCGGTAGAGAGTCTGGATGAGCTCTACACAACTTTGCAGGATTACCATGAGAATTGGTTCATTGGCCTGGTAACAGACTGCAGTTGGCAAGACAGTGTTGCACAAGAGAAGCCCTTCCTATTCTCTCTCGGACACGATCTCACCATGGTAAACATTTACTGGAATGTAACCATTGCTACTGAACATTCTCGTATCTAGTTGTGAAACAATAAAAAGCATCTCTTCTGAGTATATATATATATATATATATATATGAGTTTTTGCCATAACTAACCATGAATATAATGTTCATTGTACATTTTTATGCGCTATTTCTGCTAAATAGGCCCCGCCCACAATGATATCTCATTGGTCCAAAATCATGCTCCACATAAATTGGCTTGTGATTGTGTAATGTTGTGTTGGAATTCCAATTTTACTACATACAAATGACTGCATATGTTAGTACACTGTATTATTTTGAGACTATATATTTTTTTTTTATTGGTATCACTCGATATTGGATACTTAATTGTACATGCTTCTTTTCCCCCCATTTCATTCAGATTATTTTTGGCATAATCAAATGCTCAGTTATAATTGAAATTCTATTAATATGATTACAATTTAATAACACAGTTAAATGTAATTTTTAAGGAAATCTTAAAATGAATATCCATTTTTTTTATACCATACATTTGTGGTTAAGATGCTTAAATTCACATTAAGCATTTGACAAATGATTTTATTTTTTTTAATTAATATAAAATGTATAGAATTTTAATATTGGCCATTACATTAATTATCAGCTTGTCTGTATTGACAAGAATTTAAATTGGTCTACCCCTACTCTTTTTCATGCATTCTTATGTCCCTTGAGTTTATTAATTTAATTTAACAAAAAAAGCTAAATGATCACTTACGGTTTCGTAATATTTTCTCTGTTTTCATAGGGGACATATACGAGCCGTGTGTTGTCCCTGCAGGAGAATCTAGTCCAGGTAGGAGTTTTGAATGAGGAGGGTGTGAGGGGCCAGTGGGCCAACCTGTCATGGGAGCTACTATATGCCACTAATGATGACGAGGAGCGCTACAGCATTCAGGCACATCCTGTGATGCTGAGGAACCTAACTGTTCAAGCAGCTGATCCACCTCTGGGATACCCCATCTATTCATCCCCACCCATCCATTTACACTGCTTATGATAATCACCTTCATTTGTTTACCCACACCGCTTCAGAGATCATGACACACAGGGATGCTACCAGCACATGAATTTCACAGTCAGAAGTTTCTGCATTTCATTTCTTCATTCAGAGTATGGTCAAATATTTTATTGAAAGTATGAAAATTGTTAGTTTTAGTGACATTTGACTTTTGAAAGAAATGCATGAATTTATGAATGTCAGCAGCTAGTAAATGTGCAAAATCCTCTCCAAACTCATTGAGACACAGAGCCCAGTTTAAATTTGTTCTCTAGAAAGTGTGCTCTATTTTCTCAACAATGAACCCTTGGGTGTCCTTGACTGAATCTCACCTCACATTGCTACCATTTCACATTTTTATTTTTTGTATTTTTTCACTTTCTTGTTAAGCATCCGTCAAGAGCCCTAAAAAGGAGAAACAGGAAAACCGTTGCTCTTTTAAAGAACCTGTTTGTCAGATCTCAAGGATGTGCCTTGGTTACTATATTCCGTGGTTATAATATTTTTTTTGTTCATGTGACCACCTGGCACCTATGGCACCTTTGTTCATCCTATTTGAGCTCCGTCTTTATACGGTTGTGTAATTGTATGTATAGAAGTAATACAAATGTTTTGTATAAATACTTTACTGTCTTTTTTGTTCACACAAACTTAAAATGTTAGAATATTACATTCTATTTATAACTGATGTACAACATTTTAATACAGAAAACACAAAGAAAACAAATCATCTGCCCATGCATTTTTAAGAATGTACCATTTGTCTTCTTGCTATTGATACAGCAAGCAAAATATAAGGTGTTTTCATATTTATTTAATGACAGTGAAATGTCTGGGTGACTTTCCTGGGTCCTTCTGGTAAGGAATTCACAAATCAGTGTTTCCTGAAATTAGATTTTCAAGTTGTCTTGACCTTAGGCTTGCTGAAATATGCAGAGTCTGCATCCTAGAAAAGATGACGATTCAGAAAAGATATTACTGCTATTGTAGCATAGCATATCAGTTCAGGGATCTGTTTACACCCACTACTCACCAGTCCAGCTTTGAAGTTCTGCACACGTTTTTTACCCAGAATGTTAGTCAAGTACCAGGCCAGAGTGGGACTGTACTGCCACAAATAGCAGAAGAGTAGAAAGGGCTGCTCGGCGATCCACATCTCTTTCACATGGTTGGCCAGACCTACCAGGGTGAGTTGAACACAGCGCTCTGTAGACATCTTATGTGTCTGATCACCAGCTGTGGCCACAGGCTAAAGAGAGAGAGGGGAAAAAAAGTACTTTTTAGCTAAGCAAATGCAAAAGTATTTTGATATAATGATCACTGATCAATGAGCCTAAGTGCAGATAATTGTTATTTAAGTATTATATACTGTTATAGTTTTTATTCATATTTTGAATTAGCTATTAAATATATTGGTTTTAACCCCATTTGTTGTTCATTGGCTACTATGACATTCATGGGTTTATCTGTCAATCTAGTTCCCGCTCAACCAATAGCGAGTGTTTGGGGCGTGGCTACTCTAGCAGACTGAACTAGAGGGTGTTGAGTGTTGAGCTGACTTCTTGTTATATGGGCAAAGAAATTAAGTTTCGGTTATAGAAGTGCAAGCCAAAATTCGAAGACTTGCTAAAATATGCAGACAACGGGGTAAAACAAATAGGAAAACCGTTGCTCTTTTAAAGAACCTGTTTGTCAGATCTCAAGGATGTGCCTTGGTTACTATATTCCGTGGTTATAATATTTTTTTTGTTCATGTGACCACCTGGCACCTATGGCACCTTTGTTCATCCTATTTGAGCTCCGTCTTTATACGGTTGTGTAATTGTATGTATAGAAGTAATACAAATGTTTTGTATAAATACTTTACTGTCTTTTTTGTTCACACAAACTTAAAATGTTAGAATATTACATTCTATTTATAACTGATGTACAACATTTTAATACAGAAAACACAAAGAAAACAAATCATCTGCCCATGCATTTTTAAGAATGTACCATTTGTCTTCTTGCTATTGATACAGCAAGCAAAATATAAGGTGTTTTCATATTTATTTAATGACAGTGAAATGTCTGGGTGACTTTCCTGGGTCCTTCTGGTAAGGAATTCACAAATCAGTGTTTCCTGAAATTAGATTTTCAAGTTGTCTTGACCTTAGGCTTGCTGAAATATGCAGAGTCTGCATCCTAGAAAAGATGACGATTCAGAAAAGATATTACTGCTATTGTAGCATAGCATATAAGTTCAGGGATCTGTTTACACCCACTACTCACCAGTCCAGCTTTGAAGTTCTGCACACGTTTTTTACCCAGAATGTTAGTCAAGTACCAGGCCAGAGTGGGACTGTACTGCCACAAATAGCAGAAGAGTAGAAAGGGCTGCTCGGCGATCCACATCTCTTTCACACGGTTGGCCAGACCTACCAGGGTGAGTTGAACACAGCGCTCTGTAGACATCTTATGTGTCTGATCACCAGCTGTGGCCACAGGCTAAAGAGAGAGAGGGGAAAAAAAGTACTTTTTAGCTAAGCAAATGCAAAAGTATTTTGATATAATGATCACTGATCAATGAGCCTAAGTGCAGATAATTGTTATTTAAGTATTATATACTGTTATAGTTTTTATTCATATTTTGAATTAGCTATTAAATATATTGGTTTTAACCCCATTTGTTGTTCATTGGCTACTATGACATTCATGGGTTTATCTGTCAATCTAGTTCCCGCTCAACCAATAGCGAGTGTTTGGGGCGTGGCTACTCTAGCAGACTGAACTAGAGGGTGTTGAGTGTTGAGCTGACTTCTTGTTATATGGGCAAAGAAATTAAGTTTCGGTTATAGAAGTGCAAGCCAAAATTCGAAGACTTGCTAAAATATGCAGACAACGGGGTAAAACATAGGTAAACACTCGTGGTTGTTTTACACAATGGAAGAATTTGATGGAATGGCTGGATTTTAATCGAGACGCCAAACTTGCGGAGTTTCTTCTCAACACTGTTAAAGTCAAGTTTTTAGCTCTTTACTGTCAAGCCACAGATAAAGTAGTAAGATTTCGTAATGATGATAAGAATAATATTAAGGATGTTTTAAGGTGGTTCTGCAAAGGATTGCATTTGAAAATATGCTTTTTTGTAATTCCGCTAGGCGACACTAGTAGCGCAGAAATGGCCAACTTCACATTTAAACATAATTCAGTAAAAAATTGTTTAGTTTAAGTTTTTCATCTAATTTTTCTTTTAATTTACCCCAAAAAAACAAACAAACAAAAAAACAACTGGTGCAAATACTTTGCTGAGCTCCTCGGTGAACGCATTCTGAACGATGCTTGATATTACAGGTCCGGGACAAATGGTACTGATGGTGATGTTCGGATAATCAGTGAGTTCTGTCCTCAGAGAGTTAAAGAAACCCTGGAGAAACACAACAAACCAGGAGCTTTTTTATCTTTTTTGACTTTTTACCAGACAATGCTGCATACGTGTAGGCAGATTCTCAGGGAATTCTGTCAGTTTGCTCTCACCTGCACCGCATGCTTGCTCGCAGCATAGCCCGTTGCCAGGGGCACCCCTACAAAGCCTGAAACGCTGCTGATGGTGGCTATGATACCACTACCACGGCGGATCATGTGGGGCAGCACCTGCTTAGTGATGGATACGGTGCCAAGGTAGTTGAGCTCCATAAGTGCCTGGTACACATCAACATCAGCCTCTGTGCACAGCGAACGCTGCGTCCGGCCTCCGTTGTTTATCAACACATCTATCTGAAAATGCAGACACACAAAAATTAAGACATTTAGAGGGATTATTCCTACTTAATATCTCTGACCATTCTAATCATTCTAAATTGCTTGACACTCAGATGAAGTATAGTATAAAAAAACAAAATGGCATTGATAGTCTGTTGCAGCTGTTCCAATGTCAACAGAGAAATTCATGTAGAAATATTATGCTACGAAATGCTAGCTAGATGATTTCATTTTTCAGATGATTATTTACTGTTTTCTACACACTTGTCTCTGCAAATGTCTAAAGTTTGCATATTTTATTGTCATGTAATGAGATCCTGGGCTTACTGTTGCATTTTATGTTGAATAGTTCACCCAAAAATGAAAATTTGCTGAATATTTACCCATCCAAGATGTAGATGAGTTACAAACATACAGCTTTTCGCTTTACAAGACATTAATTGATACACTGGAGTTGTGTGGATTATTGTGATGTTTTTATCAGCTGTTTGGATGGAACGCATTCACTGCAGAGGATTCATTGGTGAGCAAGTGAAGCTAAATTTCTCCAAATCTGTTCTGATGAAGAAACAAACTCATCTATATCTTGGATGGCCTGAGGGTGAGTACATTTTCAGCTAATGTTCATTTTTGGGTGAACTTTTCCTTTAACCAGTGCATACTTTAATTCTTAGGTGTTAATACTAGGAAAATTCAATCAAAATCAGTATTCTGAAAATTACACTTTTTGGTGTCAGCAATGTTTCTGAAATAGAAGAAACAATCACAGAAACACTCTGAAGATTGGACATGAAATCCAGATGACATTTACATCACCAAAGTGCTTCAGAGCTGCAGCAGTTTTTTCTTGATGTGATCCACGGTCCAACAAATCAAGTGGAAGGACAAGAATATCCTCATCCTTTAGAGAGAAGCGCCCTAACAGAAGGAGAGGAAGAGTGTATTTTGTGTCAGTAGGTCATGGTGTGGATGCTTTTAGTACATAGCTGTCAAGTATTGACAGCAAAGATACTCGAGTATATACATTCAAGGTCATTCTGCAGCTCTGAGGGAGGAGACATGAATTACAGTGTACTTAATTGGGGTTTTATGTGTTTTACCTAAACATGTGCGCTTTACCCTCTCCAGCTCATTCTCCCTGCGGGCAGACAGCACAAGCCGAGCACCGAGGGCCGCGAGCTGATAGGACAACTCCTCCCCAATGCCACTCGAGGCTCCGGTAATCCACACCACTTTGCCTCTCAATTTTGACTCTATAAAATGAAAAATGAATGAATGAATTAATAAAATTCTACACATCACACTATATATTATTTAATTAATAATTATTTTTAAAAAATTGTATAAAGGTATAGTAATGGAAGTAATGCTCAACAGAGCACTATGAACTCCAGTATATGGGTCAGTCTAAGAAAAATTAAGTTTTACAGTATATGGTGTTTATATGTATAAGGTGAAGTGCATCTTTGTAAGAGTTTAAATATTATATCAGATAAAAATATGTTTAAGAAATAATACATTGTATTACGCAATCTCAAGCTAAATGAATACATTTTTAATATGCTGGGATATAATTGTGCCTTCTGAAATGGTTCATGGTAACAGTGTGCTGACAGTTCTACATTTAATTTGATATTAAAACCTGGCTTGTGTGCAACTACAGCTACAAGGTGCTTGTTATGGTGCGAGGTGTTTTTCAGGGGACATTTAGCAGCTTATTAATCATATTTTTTTTCTCTATATTTTTCTCTATGGAAAGTCCTCATAAAACATAAAAACCCAACATTTGTGTGTATATAAAGACGCTGATAATGGCATCAGCTGTAACCGGTATTCTATAGTCTTTGATTATAACCATGATTCATGCAGACTTTATACTTTACTTATATAAAAAACGTTATACTTTACTATACTGTACCTGTCGCATACTGCCATGGTGACCTCTACACTACACTGGGTTGTTAGAGCACTTAACAGTCATAGTTAACGACAGAGTGCAAATTCCATAACCTTGCAGGAATGTGTCACACTTTGTTGCATAAGAAGCCAGGTGTTGGTTGATTTTAGATTGCAAACATATTTCTGTGTATACATGTATATGTCTATAAGCGATTCTGATTCATATTACCTGGGCTGTTGCCGAACCTCGCCGCCCATAATAAAGTCAGATCAGCGTCTGCGAAGATGAAGCGTATAAACTGCGTTAGTAAATAAACTGCGCTCCCAACGAGAATCACACACAGCCAGCATATATCCAACATTTCTGTATAAACGCCGAGAAACTTCGCAAAAAGTAGCTATTTTACAGAGTAGTGGCTGAATGCGCTGGTAAATCTTGCGCAAGCTGCGCCTGACAGATCCGTCTGTGTTACAACATGCTGTAACTGCTGCCTCTGAACCAACCCTGCTCAGTTCAGCCAACGACCCGGCAGGACCTACAGCACGAGTCAAAGCCTTCCGGGTTAATCTTCTGTTTTAATGGAATACACTGCTTTACCTTTATTTTTAACCTATCTATCTATCAATCTATAGCCAATATCTGTCCACTCGAAGAGTACAAAGCTATAGGCTACAGCAGCCTTATATTATATGATTTAATATTTATATTCCATATTATTTATATTCCGCTGGTTTTGTATTCAGATGGAGTTGAATAGGCTACAACAGTAGACAGACAGATAGATAGATGGATGGATAGATAGATAGATAGATAGATAGATAGATAGATAGATAGATAGATAGATAGATAGATAGATAGATAGATAGATAGATAGACAGACAGACGATACAGACAGACAGACAGATAGATAGAGATAGGCAGACAGACAGATAGATAGATAGAGACAGACAGATAGATAGATAGATACAGACAGACAGACAGACAGATAGATAGATAGAGATAGACAGACAGACAGATAGATAGATAGAGACAGACAGACAGAGATAGATAGATAGATAGATAGATA